AGTTCAATGTCGTTATACGGGCTAAATTACACATCTTAGACATACTTTACGTCCGTTTTATGATAACAAATAACATAAAATCCTGTTTTAAAAGCCATAAATCATTTCAAGAACCGTATAATTAGGTAAATTTAACATGTTGTAAACTCTTGATTTAACATGGAGGTTATTTAAGAGTACCACATAAGAAGGGATAAATTAAATGCCATGTCTCCGAGGCCTCTTCATAGTGGTAAACAAATATTTAATGTTTTTTAACGGTCATAATATAAGAGCCAATATAACATCTTCACATTATATTATGTCAGTTTAGAGCAATTTTTAATTATAACTAGAAAACATATTTCACTAAACACATGGTTGCCTATCTACGGAAAAGTATACTGACCCCTTTTATATATTTTATATGACTTAAAGAAAAAAACAGATTTTGTAAAATACATACATTTGTATCTTTAAAAAACCTTGACAGGTTATATGATATATAAAATAGATCTTAAAGAGTTCTATTTCAAAACATAATTATTTATCTAATAAGGTAACTAAGAATAAGTTAAGTTTTCGTCTTATACTTACTACTTAATAAATCAAATGTTATTCTTTTGTTTACAGTTCATCATACAAATATTCATTCCTTTTTTCATATACATTGATCAAACAAATTGTTTATCAAAATAACTTCTACAGCAGGCCTCCAGAAAACACTAATACGATATTTTTCACAATGGTAGATACGAGTATATTTAAATAATTGTATTCTCAATGATTATTTTAGGTCGAATGGTTCATTTGTTTTCATAAGTTTCAACTATATAGCGTGAACTAAACAAATGAAATATATCTTCCCTTAGCAACCAAAGAAGTGTCCTCTGCTTCCTACTTCCACTACTTCTACTACTCCTTCTATCACCAACACCACTACTACTACTACTACTACGACGACGACGACGACGACGACGACGAAGAAACCAACTTGTACAGTCCCGCCCCACAATAACCACAATCATTACGAGAGTGACGGTTATTCCTTATTACGCGCGTATAGACACATCCAGCTCTGCTTAGACACCACCTCGAACCGTCCAGAAAGCATAACAAATTAAAATCATGTTGAACTATTGTTTTGTTTTGTTTGTTTGTTTGTTTGATTGGCTTTTACGTCACACCGACACAGTATAAATCATACGGCGACGTTCAAGCTTAATTTACTGATGGAGGAAGACCTCATGTGAGCTTCCGTGCATTATTTCAGGCACGGACTGGCACCTGAGTAGAATCACCGGCGTTCCGTAAGCTAGCTAGATAGATTTCTCACATGAAAGTCCCTATCGGGATTCGAACCCACAGCGGTGAGGGGCAAGTTGTTTGAAGACAACAACCTTAACCACTGGGCCCCGGACGCTTCGGCTATTGGGTAATGTATTGTTACAGCATGCATGTTATAAATCCCTAGAATACTTACTTATTCAAATACCATTATAAAATGAGTAAGAAATATGGAACACCATAACTGCCTCATGTTCTTACATTTCGTTTTATCTTCCCTAGAAAGCGTCCTATAATGTCAAATATAAGTGTTGTGTTGTCCAATTTTTTGACTTGTCTAAGCATTGCCTTATTATTGCAGCTATGACGTTCCATAAGTAACGTCTGTATATATTGAAGACGGGAGTATAATTATCAAAAAGACGCAATAAAGCCGCGTTTGCAGTTCTGCTATACTTCATAGGATAATGCATTTATAAAATTTTGACAACTAGTCCTCTGTGTTCAATTTTACAATTTGTGGCATTGGTATTCCCGGTTTTCAGTTGTTGTTGTTGTTGTTGTTTAGGATATCAAGGCCACACTGAAATTGTATAAAAAAAGACAGTATGGAGTTTGGTTCTCAGCCAATTCTAAAAGCAAATGTGAATTAGCTCTATACTTGGTGATCGTACGACCGTTGATAAGACGAGCCCCAGAGTATTAACCCTTAGCATGCTGGGAAAGTTGTCGTCTGCAAAAATGTCGTCTGCTATATGTAAGATTTTATTCAATTTTCTAAAAAATAACTGAATGTAAACCAGATTGGAGCAGGACAAAGCGGTAAGTCACTGGGCGTATAATATAGCATCAAGCGGTTAGTCACCGGGCGTCTAATATAGCACCAAGCGGTAGTTCACTGGGCATTTGATATAGGACCAAGCAGTTAGTCATTTTGCGTCTTATTTAGGACCAAGCTGTAAGTCACTGGGCGTCTGATATAAGACCAAGCGGTTAGTCACTGGGCGTCTTATATGGCACAAAGCGGTAAGTCACTGGGCGTCTGATTTATGACCAAGCAATAAGGCACTGGGCGTCTGATATAGGACCAAGCGGTTAGTCACTGGGCGTCTAATATAGCACCAAACGGTTAGTCACTGGGCGTCTTATATAGGACCAAGTGGTAGGTCACTGGGCGTCTGATATAGGACCAAGCGGTTAGTCACTTGGCGTTTGATATAGCATTAAGGGGTTAGTCACTGGGCGTCTGATATAGGACCAAGCGGTTAGTCACTGGGCGTCTGATATAGGACCAAGCGGTAAGTCACTGGGCGTCTGATATAGGACCAACCGGAAAGTCACTGGGCGTCTGATTTAGGACCAAGCGGTAAGTCACTGTGCGTCTGATATAGGACCAAGCGGTAAGTCTCTTGGCGTTTGATTTGGGACCAAGCGGCAAGTCACTGGTCGTCTGATATAGGACCAAGCGGTAGGTCACTTGGCGTCTGATATAGGACGTCCAAGCGGTTAGTCACTGAGCGCCTGATATAGGACCAAGCGGTAAGTCACTGGGCGTCTGATATAGGACCAACCGGAAAGTCACTGTGCGTCTGATATAGGACCAAGCGTAAGTTACTGGGCGTCTGATATAGGACCAAGCGGTAAGTCACTGGGCGTCTGATATAGGACCAAGCGCTAAGTTACTTGGCGTTTGATATAGGACCAAGCGGTAAGTCACTGGGCGTCTGATATAGGACCAAGCGGTAAATCACTTGGCGTCTGATATAGGACCAAGCGGTAAGTCACTTGGCGTTTGATATAGGACCAAGCGATAAGTCACTTGGCGTCTGATAAAGGACCAAGCGGTTAGTCACTTGGCGTCTGATAAAGGACCAACCGGAAAGTCACTGGGCGTCTGATATAGGACCAAGCGGTAAGTTACTGGGCGTCTGATATAGGACCAAGCGGTAAGTCACTTGGCGTCTAATATAGCACCAAGCGGTACGTCAATTGGCGTCTGATATAGCACCAAGCGGTAAGTCAATGGGCGTCTGATATGGTACTGTTAGCTGCTATACAACAGATATATAGCTTTAGTCACTTCAACTAATTTATCTACATATTTTTCAAATTGAATAACTAAACAATACCTGTGAAAATAGATTGAAGTTGATGTCCAATCATTTTATTGCATGTAATTGATTAAAATGTTAAAATTTGAGAATCTGCTATAAAAGAATTAAGTAAAAGTTATCAACATTCTTGTAAACAAATCAATGGTATTATGCTGAATAAATATATGTTCAAAGTTGACTTTGAGAATTATAATCTGTTGATAAATTATTGTGTTCCTTTTTAAGTTTGGATCGTTAAGTAAAAAATGCATTTGGAAACGGGAACCAAAATTATTTTAAGGCGTAGTCGGTTTGCAAGAATTACGTATTCATCCGTCAGTCATGAATTTATTTCTTGACAACTTCATTTCATTTTCTGAATAAAACGAAAAGGTATATAATAAAAGGAAAATCATGTTGTAGAAGCTTTCTTAGACTATATATTTTTCTACTCGCAACGTTGGAAAATTGATATCTCGCTCGACCATCGGTCTCTCGAGATATCAATTTTCCACCGCTGCTCAGCCTCAGAAACCTACTACAACATAATATTCCAAATTTATTTCATGCTTTCCAGTGTTTTATAGAAATATATCAGATGATTTTATTCTGATAAACCACTAGTGGAATTTATAAATTATAATTATCACTGTAGCCGAACTATACCTGAATGCGATGAAAAAAAATCAAAACTAAATGGAATAAAAGGCAGAAATTAATGCTGTCATACGTAAATATGCTTCTCTAGGAAAAGACAATCGATGTTATCATACATCATGTTAAAAAATGTAACAAAATGAGAGAAATTTAACAGACCTTCGTTTCAAAATTGATGATGTGACATCATTACATCATGACTTCACAAAGAAGAAGAAATAAAGAAGTTAGTGGGCGGTGCCGTGTTTTCCTTCAGTTTTATTGAGTGAAACGGGTTTTATACCTCGCCATCATTAAAAATCCAAGGGAAACGACTCTGGCAATGTACAAAATATAAAAATCCCAATTACTGCCCCTGTTACATATGATTATGAACGAAATAGTGATACACGTATGATCAATGTGCTACCTCTATCATTTTGATATTGTACAAGAAATAAGAACTATTTAGTATATGTAGGATACACGGGCAAAAACTCCGTGGAATCATGATCTTGCAGCTCCTTGATTATTTCGAACGGATGGCACGGTTTGTATCATATTTTATTGTATATTTATAAATGAAATTTTGAGACATATAAGAGAATTGAAATGCGTATTTTCAATTTCCCGTATTTTCACTATAAAACATAATTTTTCACTGCAGTGAAACATATATTTTTCGTATTTTCAGTGGTGACTTGCCGGACTACTTTTTTCTAAATTCAGACAGAAGACAAAATTCAAGGGGAAATCTTTCAAATTGTAATGTTGAAAAGAGAAAAATGTATATAAAAAACAGAAAATTCATTTTTTTATAAAAAAAAAAAACAGGAATTATATTCATATACTGGTATGAAAATTATCATATTTCACTCGTGGCTATCGCCACTCATGAATTTTTTTTATACCACTAGAAAAAAATTGAATATCCTCTATTATATAAGTTAAAAAGATTTTTGACAGGTTATATGGCCCTATATAAACGGTTGTCTATGTTAGCCTTCAGTCCGTTGAGGTGTTAAAGGGTGATAGCCTACAGTCCGCTGTGGTATTAAAGGGTGATAGTCTACAGTCCGCTGTGGTATTAAAGGGGCGATGTCCTATAGTCCGCAGTGGTATTAAAGGGCGATAGCCTACTTCCTGCTTTGGTATCATAGGGTGATAGCCTACTTCCCGTTGTGGTATTAAAGGGCGATAGCCTAGTTCCTGCTGTGGTATTAAAGGGCGATAGCCTACTTCCTGCTTTGGTATTAAAGGGCGATAGCCTAGTTCCTGCTGTGGTATTAAAGGGCGATAGCCTACTTCCTGCTGTGGTATTAAAGGGCGATAGCCTACTTCCTGCTTTGGTATCAAAGGGTGATAGCCTACTTCCTGCTTTGGTATTAAAGGGCGATAGCCTTCTTCCCGTTGATGTATTAAAGGGCGATAGCCTACTTCCTGCTGTGGTATTAAAGGGCGATAGCCTACTTCCTGCTTTGGTATCAAAGGGTGATAGCCTACTTCCCGTTGTGGTATTAAAGGGCGATAGCCTAGTTCCTGCTGTGGTATTAAAGGGCGATAGCCTACTTCCTGCTTTGGTATTAAAGGGCGATAGCCTAGTTCCTGCTGTGGTATTAAAGGGCGATAGCCTACTTCCTGCTGTGGTATTAAAGGGCGATAGCCTACTTCCTGCTTTGGTATCAAAGGGTGATAGCCTACTTCCCGTTGTGGTATTAAAGGGCGATAGCCTACTTCCTGCTTTGGTATTAGAGGGCGATAGCCTACTTCCCTTTGTGGTATTAAAGGGCGATAGCCTACTTCCTGCTGTGGTATTAAAGGGCGATAGCCTACTTCCCGTTGTGGTATTAAAGGGCGATAGCCTACTTCCCGTTGTGGTATTAAAGGGCGATAGCCTACTTCCCGTTGTGGTATTAAAGGGCGATAGCCTACTTCCTGCTGTGGTATTAAAGGGCGATAGCCTACTTCCTGCTTTGGTATTAAAGGGTGATAGCCTACTTCCTGCTGTGGTATTAAAGGGCGATAGCCTTCTTCCCGTTGTGGTATTAAAGGGCGATAGCCTACTTCCCGTTGTGGTATTAAAGGGCGATAGCCTACTTCCTGCTGTGGTATCAAAGGGTGATAGCCTACTTCCCGTTGTGGTATTAAAGGGCGATAGCCTACTTCCCGTTGTGGTATTAAAGGGCGATAGCCTACTTCCTGCTTTGGTATTAAAGGGCGATAGCCTACTTCCTGCTTTGGTATTAAAGGGCGATAGCCTACTTCCTGCTTTGGTATTAAAGGGCGATAGCCTACTTCCTGCTGTGGTATTAAAGGTCGATAGCCTACTTCCTGCTTTGGTATTAAAGGGCGATAGCCTATCTCCTGCTTTGGTATTAAAGGGCGATAGCCTACTTCCTGCTGTGGTATTAAAGGGCGATAGCCTACTTCCCGTTGTGGTATTAAAGGGCGATAGCCTACTTCCCGTTGTGGTATAAAAGGGCGATAGCCTACTTCCTGCTTTGGTATTAAAGGGCGATAGCCTACTTCCTGCTGTGGTATTAAAGGGCGATAGCCTACTTCCTGCTGTGGTATAAAAGGGTGATAGCCTTCTTCCCGTTGTGGTATTAAAGGGTGATAGCCTTCTTCCCGCTATGGTATTAAAGGGCGATAGCCTACTTCCTGCTTTGGTATTAAAGGGCGATAGCCTACTTCCTGCTTTGGTATCAAAGGGCGATAGCCTACTTCCTGCTGTGGTATTAAAGGGCGATAGCCTACTTCCTGCTGTGGTATCAAATGGTGATAGCCTACTTCCCGTTGTGGTATTAATGGGCGATAGCCTACTTCCCGTTATGGTATTAAAGGGCGATAGCCTATTTCCTGCTGTGGTATTAAAGGGCGATAGCCTACTTCCTGCTGTGGTATCAAAGGGTGATAGCCTACTTCCCGTTGTGGTATTTAAGGGTGATAGCCTACTTCCCGTTGTGGTATTAAAGGGCGATAGCCTACTTCCTGCTTTGGTATTAAAGGGCGATAGCCTACTTCCTGCTTTGGTATCAAAGGGTGATAGCCTACTTCCTGCTGTGGTATTAAAGGGCGATAGCCTACTTCCTGCTGTGGTATTAAAGGGCGATAGCCTACTTCCCGTTGTGGTATTAAAGGCCGCTGTGGTTTTAAAGGGTGATAGCCTTCAGTCCGGATAGTTACCGATCAGACTTATTCTCGTCTGGGAATGGCATAAAATAGCAGCAACTTTTTTATAAGAAAATAAATTATTCAGAAAAAAAACTCCACACTCAATACTTTTTTTTAGTTGGTCAACCAAGCTTATAATACTTTATTATTTTTATAGAAATTGTTTCAAAGAACGAATTCAATACCTCTTTTGCAAAAACATTTCATATGTTACTTTACTGTAATTCACTTGTTGTTTGAATCTCTATTACGCACTTACTGTTAATAGTATTTGTCTTTTAATGATTTTTTTTTTGTTTGATACAGACCCCAGATAAATGCATGCAAAAAATTATATATGTTTAAAAAAAATGCAATATGTACTTTTGCATAGTTAATTTGTTTATAGAACAGAACAGAAATTGTATTAAGACTAGTACAAAGTACATCATCTACAATACATTATATTTACTTATATTTTAGCTGCATGAAAATTTACAAACAAAATCTTGATATCTTTTTTAACGTTTTCAATGGTTTCATGATAATAAATAAGTAGATAAACAAATAAACAAACAAACAAACAAACAACATGCATATAGCTATGAAAAAAGATGTGCATTTATCGATACTTTTATAAATAATAAGTTATTGGAATGGAAACAAATCATTTGGAGAATGAACATTGATTCAATTTTAGACATTATTAGTTAAAAATGTAAATAACAATTGAATTTAATACCGGTATGTAACTTTGTTGTATATTTAACTTAGTGTGGTTAAAGAAACCTAACATGTCGATAGCATTATCAGTCTTGTTATCTGAGTCTTGATACAAAATGATATATTATAAAATAATATTGTTTGGAATTAAAATGACATTGTCCTGTAATTGATTAATATTTTTGATAATATAACTATACAATATCTGTTAATAGCTTTGTTTTAAACACATGCACGCACATCTTGCAGCAGTTGAGTTGTTATTTAAGACACAGCTGGCGCACAGAAAAGTTATACATTGTACTGTACAGTATATCAATGTTTGCATCAGGAAAAACGATATTTTGATAATATAAGCGTAAAATGTCAAAATTATCCCCTTTTAATAACCGGAATCATATGATATTCAATTTCTAGCGTAAGGTGGGGGATTATCATAATGTTTGTACGCTGGTCGTTTACCGGTATGTACGTTACATTTGTTCCCTTGGGGAGCAGGAATCACTGGGGGAGCCGATGGCGATATTATACCATTCGTTCCAGTATTAGGACGGAGCATTTCCGGTTCAACTGTAGACATGCGTGTTGGTGTTTGCATCATTTCCGGTCGAGTGCAAGCCACTGATCCATACAGATTGTCTGATTTGGAATCATATTCCTTCAGTATTTTAAAATAATCACCTTCTTCATTTTGTAGAATTACAATTCCGGGTTCAATTTCATGAGCATACACCGGTTTCATCATAAGTCGTTCATTTTCTTTCTTGTTTGACTGAGACTCGCTTGAGTTGTCGTTGCACCATTTACAAAGTGCGTATAGTGTAAGAATACAAAATCCAAACAACAAAATACCGAAGAGTAAATTACTCATCTTGAACATTTCTTGTCTAAAAATAAAATAAAGCCATTGTTACATTCATTATTTTGTATTTTTTATCATAAAAATGCTTGGAATTGCCGTTCAGACGGCTATCCAAAAATCATTTTAGTAAAATAGATTCAAATGATGTTTTTTAAGAGAAATATTTCATATCTTGTTTAGCCCGTAAGAGCCTACGCACATCGTACCTGAATATAGAATTTAATTTCTATAAATTTATGGGTAACCCGGCAAAAAAATGGCGGGGTCCCGTAGGCGCCAGTTTCGTCTTTTGAAGTCCATTCATGTGTTTTTTCATGTGTAAGTACATTCTTCATTTAGATTAAGGGTACATGTAGAAATGGTCAAATCTTGTTAACTGTTTATGTCATCGTCCAGGAACATTAGATTGAAATGTTTACGTTGGATTTTACGTTACACCAACACTGTCAAAATCTTTTGGTCACTTGTTAAAAAAGGCCTCAGTTGCCACTCCGGAAATTATTTGAGTAGTACCACGCCTACTAAACGGTGGCTCTTTTACATTTTGGTGATCTGTTTAAATGAGAGCCATCGACACATCCGTTGCAGAGCCCTCGATGAAAACAAGACTGAAAAAGGTAATAAATTTTAGTAAAAATATCAATTTAAAAAGATCATGCTTGTTTTTCAAAAATCGAAGAATGTCATGCCACGTAGAACATTTTTCTCATCATGTTGGGTGAAGTTTCGATAAGAAATACCCTAAAATGACGTTGCTAGAACTTTTACCAAATATAACCTTTTGGGTTTTCTTTTACGAGGATACATTTTTTTAGTGATTTCCCTACCGTAAAGTAGATGATGACCCACTTAATCGTGTATATAGAATTGTCCCAACCGCCTCTTTGGACCAACACAAAAAATAACTTACAGAACTTTCTTGAAAACCAAATAATCAAATATTTATTATTGTGATCGAGCCATCGACAAGGTGCTGGCGCCATCGGCAATGTGAATGAGCCCTCGAAAATGTGATGGAGCCAACACTATCATTAATTTTGTGATAACATGACGGAGTTTAACCGTTACTTAACATATACAATTTCGCATGCATCGTATCATTGGGTTGACGTATTGAATTAAAATACGCGATCTGATTATTCGAATTCATGAACATTGAAGTAAAACCTCTTTTTATAAAATATTAACATATTAGCACACAAAAATAGTTTTTTACTTTTAGTCAGTAAAATTTCAGTTTTTAATTTTGAAATTTATGAAACTTTCAGGTGGAATATCGACATGAATAAGGGGATACAAAAAAGATTTTCATGTGGTGTGTGTAGAAAGACGTACGCCAATAAGGCCATGGTTAAATTTCATATAAAAAAACTATCATGAGCAGGCGGCCTCTCGACTACAGAACTGTTTGGTACAATAATTGCATGTGTGGTTCTTCTTTATACTTTTTTCGCATCTTTGGAGGTGTCGTTTTAAGTTGCGTTCATAAGTAAAATGTTTCTCACACTTCCTACAATTCAGCTCATTGACATTGTGTTTTTTTTTTCGTATGTGGTCCGTCCTGTCTTTTTGTGTAGAATGAACTATTGCATTCTTTAATCGTGCACACAAGTTCCCTTTCTCGTGTATTTACACGATCAACGTGCCTTTTAAGAGAAGATGGTGTTGCGTATCGCCCATCACATATACCACATAATGTACTGGTCGCCGCCTGCTCATGATAGTTTTTATATGAAATTTAACCATGGCCTTATTGGCGTACGCCTTTCTACAAACATCACATGAAAATCTTTTTTGTATCCCCTTATTCGTGTCGAGATTCCACCTGAAATTTACATAAATTTCAAAATTAACAACTGAAATTTTACTGACTAAAAGTAAAAAAAACTATTTTTGTGTGCTAATCTGTTAATATTTCATACAAAGAGGTTTTACTTCAATTTTCATGAATTCGAATAATCAAATCGAGTATTTTAATTCAATATGTCAACCCAATGATACGATGCATGCGAAATTGTATATGATAATCAGTTAGGTATAATAACGGTTAAAATCCATCATATTATCACAAAATGAATGCTGGTGTTGGCTCCATCACATTTTCGAGGGCTCATTCACATTGCCGATGGCGCCAGCACCTTGTCGATGGCTCGATCACAATAATAAATATTTGATTATTTGGTTTTCAAGTAAGTTCTGTAAGTTATTTTTTTGTGTTGGTCCAGAGAGGAGGTTGGGACAATGCTATGTACACGAATACATGGGCCAGCATCTACTTTACGGTAGGGAAATCACTCAAAATGTGTATCCTCGTAAAAGAAAACCCAAAAGGTTATATTTTGTAAAAGTTCTAGCAACGTCATTTTAGGGTATTTTTTATCGAAACTTCACCCAACATGATGAGAAAAATGTTCTACGTGGCATGACATTCTTCGATTTTTGAAAAACAAGCATAATCTTTTTAAATTGATATTTTTACTAAAATTTATTACCCTTTTCAGCCTTGTTTTCATCGAGGGCTCTGCAACGGAAGTGTCGATGGCTCTCATTTAAACAGATCACCAAAATGTGAAAGAGCCACCGTTTAGAAGGCGTGAGTACCGCTTCCGACAATCTTAAGTCCCTGGCGAGATTTGGACCCACAGCGGTGTGGGGCAAGTGGTTTAATGTCAGCAACATTAACCTGACGGCCACTTACGCTGCTTAATACGAATGATATACATGAAGTTGTGTTAAAGTCTCGGATAGTAGTGACCGTATTATACCGGTATGTAGTTAATATAACATTAGGAAACGAACATTCTTTAAGTGTATAATCGTCATAGATAAATGGTATATTGCTGTTCTTGACCAATATAATTTTGTAAATGTAACCTACACTTAATATTTTTTAAAAAGCTGGTTTCTTACGTTTTAAAAGTGTTGTACAAGTTATTAAATACAAATAGTTTAACTTACTGTTGCGCTAGAAAACTTTCCGTATCCATACTGGATTGTAAATATTTTCAGAATAAAATAATAAAAAATTCTTTAATTTTAAACAAAGTAACAGTATTTATTAGTAAGTAAAAAAGCGTCTTTTATATGTATGATCCTGAAGTTGTTTACATTTCTCCATCGACAATTGTTATTCAGTTTTATAATACATGTAAATGCATTAATATAAAGTACGTAGTTAGTACAATATTGCACACATTTTCTTAAATCAATGAAGTTTTGTGGTAACACGTGTTATTGAATATAATTGATTTGAGATTTGCGTGACGGCATAGTGAACTATGTCATATAACTGTATAAAAATATATTACATATACAATGTAATATCATTTATATTACAGCACGTTTGTAACGTCGCTTTTCATAGGATAATCGTTAATTTTATATAAACTTTTCAGATTCCCGACTGCTGACATTTTATGAATTATTTAACCTTATATCTACGGTTGTTTGAAATATAACCCACGCCTGGTGACTCAAATTATATATGCAAACGATCGTTTAGGACCATGTAACCTGTCAAAAATCTTTATGAACAGAACAGAACAAATTTTTTTATACATGTATCTTGTTAATACAACAACAAATTAAATACCTACTGCACTAATGAGTGTATGTGTAGTGTTCTAAATAGAACCAACCCTTAAAGGGATTGTTTGATAACACAGACCCTAAGGATAGTTTCTAGCTTTTTATGTCTACTGTTCAAGTGTATTGTAAGAACTCACTACAAGTATCAGAGAGGCAGACCATGCGCATTATATTGGAGGCGGGGCATATCAGAACTGACATCAGCACGTTACAGTATGGAACTGGGGCCCGTATTATCAACGGTCGTACGACCGTTTTTATCATACGATTGTCGTACGTTAATCGTACGATAGTAGCTGTGTCTTATTAAACGTCGCAGGTTTTCTTAATCGTACGATTATCTTACGATAAAGGCGTTTTTACTACGATCGCCGAAAAGCAGACGTAGATCAAAGACAATGACCGCCATGCTTCAGGTAAGTGCTAAAAGGCCGAAGAAAAAACTCGACCGTTCAGGCATCGAAAGCACAGTTGGATAGCCCGAGTTGTCTACTACTACCAGAACGGGCTACACGACGACGTCTGCTACGACTAGGGTGACTACGACTTAGACTTCGCCGACTTCGATGAAAACTACAACGATGGCGACGACTTTGGTCACACCTAGAACAATGGCAAGAGCGGCAACTCCGATTATAACGACTGGGGCCATTTTCTTACCACATTCTGCAGGCAAAATAGTTCTTTAGTTTTTGATTGAACAATGTAAGTATATCGTACCGTACTCTTAATGTAGGCATCATGGGTACAGGATGGGGGGTCAAAGAAGATATCGAGACCGAGACGGAGAACAACTGTTCAAGATCCGCCAGATGAGGGAACCAGTTTATGGCTTAGCTTAAAACTGGAGTGAATTGTCCGATACGCATGTCTGAGATGCCGATTAGATAACAACTGACCGAAGCACCCTTGCTTCCGTGTGTCTGTCCGTATGGCTAATGTCAGTACACCGTGCACGTCCGCTTAATAAGATCCTTTATTTAGGCAGAAATACACATATCGCATTAATATATATATATATATAAAAAAAAAACACACAAAATCATTTATTTGTCTACCACTATAAATGCTATTTTAAATCAAGATTTTACAACATGTGGAATTTATCTTTTATACGGTTCTTGAAATGATTTATGGCTTTAAAACAAAATTTTATGTTATTTTTTATTATAGAACGCACATTAAACATGTGTATTGTGCGTATTTAAGTAAGATAATAAAACCTAACTAATTGCCCCCCAGTAAGTAAGTTTATATTTTATCATAAATATGACAATAGTGAAGTGACAACTTTATTTTACACAAAATAATCTAAATGGAAAAAGATATATAAAAATATTACAAGTAGACTAGTATGAAACATGTTATCAACTTAAATATGTTTAAATAAACAAGCGAGTTATGTTTTTACCTACTATAACCCCATAATCATACAACATCTATCTTAAAGCGTTTACCTCCAACAGTTTGTTAAGTTTTGATAAAATCTCTTGTCAAGTGTACAAATTACATGGTAGAACACAGTTTATGCAGAAATAACTTATAACTTGTCAAATATAAAAAAACCCGTACTGTGATACTAATGGGGTAAAAACTAAGACATAAAATTAGTATGTATACATGTACGTATACTGTTATATTGTATGACTGTGCATATTCAAAATTTCACATAAGATATAATTGTGAATATAAATATACTATAAACTACCGATATATTTTCTCTTAAGCAGGATTCTTAAGTCCTTTATGGTTTATCTCCCCCTCCCCCGCCCCTCCAAATATTTTTTTCAAGATATCGTTTTGTCAAGACTAAACTAGAAATATTATTCTGAGTTGGATGTAGATTTGGACCAAGAGCTTGTGTGCAAATTTTCAGATCATTTCTTCAACCAATTATTCCAAAAATCATCATTTACGTATATAGAGCACAATGACCCAAATGTACGCTTCTTACTCAAACCCTGATTAGAATCGCAGATAAAGCCGATTTTCTGGATAATTTTGAGCATATTTCAATATTATCCTTTGTAGATTTTTCTATTTTTAAGTGCTTCACTTGATCTAAGCAAGAATTTCAAATTTTAGGTTTTGAGGCGTTTTGGCCCCAGCTCCTTTAAACTGGAAATGAACATTTAATCATGGTTAAATAAGTACAATGTCTCGTTCCTCTAACATTTTATATTCATGATTTCTTTTTTGTATTCATGATTTTCTTTTTTGTTACCCTACTTTTAATGTCGTTAACAAGTGAAGTAGAAACTATAAAGCCCTTGATGACGATATTGATGATAAATTATAAAATAAATATGAATGATCATAATTTAGAAGATAGATATAAAAATGATTAAAGCACAAAATAACTACCAATCCATAGCGGACCATTAAAACAGGATGTCGTCAAAGAGAGTGCAGAATTTCCCTGTGTTATATTTTATTTTGATAGTTTGGTGCTTCAAAACAGGTGAGTGGATTTCTTAAATGGATGCTTCATGTTGTTTTTTTCTTCTTCATTTTGTTGTGTCGATCTTGATAGCATTTTTTATTTCTTTGAAGATATGTGATTTTAATGCTTATGGGGAAAACGATTTTGGTCTTCAACTGCTAACATTAAACGCAATGCACTGAAAACATAACTGTTGATTAAAATCAATGCTAAAAGCATTATAAATCTGAAGCTGATGGTAAGTTCATGTCAGTAACTTAGGATGGAAAAAGCTCACAATAATTATGAGGTCTTATGATCTTATTCCATACTTGTTGTCATAACATGGAAGCCACGTCATTTAAAGGCCTGTGTATATTTTAAAACATGCATGGAATTAGATTAATATATATTCTTAAAGTACAACTCTTGCTGGGTATAGTTCACACAGAACAGAATATCTATTTGCTTATAATAATATAAACTGCAAACTCATTTCTATTTATAGGATTATATCAAGCCTTATCAACAACTGATCGCACAACAGATCATACATCATCTGCACAAACTCCAGCCCTGTCTTTACCTTCAAACATAACGTCAAATTCCACATCAGATTTTCTGACTACCACTGCTGCTGCAGTAACTTCTACGACAGGTTAGTAGAATATTGATTTATCTCAAATGGTATCGGTTTGAGACAGCAATAAACTTTCAATTTACAGCCGCCCTTTACAGTATTCCATTTCGTTATTCTTGAGATAATGCATTGTATCATTTCTGAACATGAACACACTATCGTATCAAATCCATTTTTGTTCTTACTGCAGCTTACAGTAACTTTTCCTTTGTTGATTATATAAGGTAATCAAATATAATTATTATATAATAGAATGTATTATTCTACGTAATTACAGGTAGTGGAACTTGTAACAACTTAGGATACGTGTATGACATTGAAGACAGTGTTCATTACAATTTGTATATTGGAAACTGCCGTGACAGCTGGTGCAATAGCTCATTTTGGGGAGGTCGCGTACAGATTCCGTGGCAGGGAAATATCAACAAACAATGCTCAAAAAGGCCAAACGATTATTTTGCCGTGTTAAAAGGTAATGGTTATCATGCTTCTTGTATAAGAAAATACGAAACATGCATCATTTTATAGAATCAGAGGATTTGTAATACTATTTCGTACAAATCACCAACGTTTACTAGTATTTATCTTTTTTGTTATAGTTTTGTATCTTATAAAGAGCTTTAACTTATACAAAGCAACTTTAGATATGTATTTTGAGATAAGGAAATCTAATTATATGTGAGAAATATCATGAAGTTAGCCAGACAGTCGGAACAGCCCGAGTAGCTGGAACGTTTTTTGTCTTGTCCGGCTATTCCGTCCGGAAACCGGTTCCAGCTGAACCGGATAGCCAGAGTTGATACATTTATACCTGTGTTAAACATAATAATAAAAATAATCTAGTTTCAAATTCGATATCCTGCTATTCCGGCTGGTGTACGGACATAATCCCCTTCGGACAAAATCCCCTTCATGTATTTTTGTATATCTGGACATAATCCCCTCCATGGGTGGACATAATCCCCTTCATGTGTGAAATTTTGAAGTGGACAAAATCCCCTTCATAAAATTGCTACCTAGGACAAAATCCCCCTCGGAGGAATTTTTGGTTTATAAAGTGGGTATGAGAGTGACATACTGCATTATGCTGTGTGGTAAATATCTTAATGTATAAAAATGTAGAAAATATTTCAGCAGAAAAGCACATTCAATTAGCACATTTTAATCATGTTAAAATTGCTTTATTAAAGCATTCATAACAATCAATCAAGTAGTGCAGTGATCTTGGTTTGATTAAATTATCACTCTTTCATCAATAGAAATTGTAATCAATGAAACAATTATTGGCTAATAAAATGTTTTTCATACTAATCAATTTAAAACAATTAAAGAAATTGCCTAATCAAAAATGTGTTACGCAGTTGATAATTTACCATAATTTTAATGAAAACATCTAAACTAAATAAAGGTTAACTATTGATACATAATGATAAATAAAAAACAAAAGTTCATTATTCATCAATTTTTAGGGAGTATAATAATACATTATTCATCAATTTTATGGAGCATAATAATACATAAGAAACCTATGAAACAAGGGGATTTTGTCCGGATAGTGAAGGGGATTTTGTCCGGCCTTGCAAAAAAAATGAAGGGGATTATGTCCACCCATGAAGGGGATTTTGTCCGGGTAGGCGAAGGGGATTTTGTCCGAAGGGGATTATGTCTGACATTCATTCCGGCTAGCTAGAATAACCGGAATCACGGCTGCTACTGACGACCAAACAAGTTCGACACAAATTTAAGGAGAATGTGTCCGTCTTAAATGATGTGTCTGTGTTATACTGGTATATGTGTGTCCGTCGGGTATACTCTGGTATTCTGCCGACGTCCGGACTGTAAATGGTCAATTTAACTTATAATCTCGACATTTCCGGCTGGCCCCTGTGAGGCTGTGGCTTGATTCCGCAGAAGCCGATATGGTGAGATGATTAGGAGGTAAGATTATAATATATTATATGGTTGGATAGTTAGAGGGTCATGTAATCCCGAGACTCAGTTCCACAGGAACATATTAAGTTTCATGCTTTGGGGTCCGACTGTGTGTCAGCTGTTATACTCTGGTATTTTGGTTATTATAGCTCAAATGTTGCCATTTATTTATGTAATTACACAACAACATTTTCTTAGTATTAAGGTAAATACATGTATCAAAAGTATCTCAATTTAAATAACATGATCATTTGTACTTTTGTTAAACATAGGAATATTTGTTTCGAACTGGCCTAATTTACAAATTAGATTAAATTAGATATTTGAGCTTCTAAAATTAAGATGACATATTTCAAGTTTCAGTGGTTAGTATCGTCTTTAAATCATTGGGGACAATCTGGTGTTCATTTGATATATTTTGAATGAGACGTTGAGAAGCTGTCATATAAATGAATGCATGTTTTGTGGAGCAAGTTCATTTTGAAAATTTTGAAAATATGTGGAGTGAAAAATTGAGTTGCGGTACAGCCTCTTTTCATGTTATTTTCAATGCACATGCACTGAGTTTGAACAGGAATCAGTGCAGAAATTTATAAATGTAATTGTCATAAATTAAGTCATTACCTTTAATGTATAACTATGGTATGAAATGCTAAATGAATGTAAATATTATTTTTAAAAAAATATCGTGATCTCGTGTTTTAATTCAAGGTTAAGTTCTCTATAATTGCAAAAAAGCGTAAAACAAAGGTTACCATGATTGCGAAAATATATTTTGTACATAAGGAGGCAGAATACCTCAGTATTTCCAACGGACCGGCTTATAAAATCGGACACACGGTCAGATCCAGTAACCATCCCACCATATGGGGCTCTGTGGCATTTTGGCGTGGGCTCACAGGGACCAGCCAGAAATAGCGAGATGTGAGCTGGAATTACCATTTATAGTACGATTTTCAACTCAACGTCGTCAAAATAACCACAGTATTCTCGAGAGACACACCTATACCAGCGGACAAACTATCAGACCAGCTTATTATCCCACCGAATCGGGTTTTACGGAATTGAGCCTGGGTCTCACTTCCGCAAGCAGGAAATGTCAAGATATGAGCTAAAATGACCATTTGTGGTACGATTTCGGCTCAACGGCGGCAAAATACTAGAGTATTTCTGACGGACACACCTATACCAGTGGACATCCGGACACACCGTTCACAACACACATATTATTAAATCTGTCAACGGATTTTTTTTCACCGTAAGTAATCTTGATTTCGGTTATTCTGGCTAGGCGGAAGAGCCAGATATCGAGTTGATGAGTACTTTGAAACTTCATTAATGAGTAAACCAATTACCTTTTGCACGTGTTTTACTGTGCAGTATTAGTTCTGGTCGGAACCGGATTCAGGCAAACCGGACTACCTACAACAGCCGGACTAGACAAAAATGTTTTCCGGCTGTTCCGACTGTCTGGTTTTACTTCAAGAACGTATGTAAAAACCCTGTTAAACAGGTCAATATTTTTCCAGTTGCAAACAAGAACGTTGAAAAATCAAAAAGCTTGTTCAAAGGTATAAGATTACAAGCGGCTTTCGACTGTCTAAAGTCTTAAAGTAACAGAACGAGCACCGAACATTAGTCTATCTAAGTATAAATCAGATTGCCGAGTGTTTTGATGTTCTTTCTCTTTTGTATCATAATCAAAAATAAAAACAATCTGTTGTTGTATCACAGTTTGGGGACCTTTCTGTTGAAAATTTGTCAGAGTTAAATCGTATACATATACATGTACAGTGCGTTAACTGATGTGAGGGTATTAATTAGTTACCCGCACTCCAGAGCATGCCATTTAATTGGTTCATTTTGTCTGGGGTTTACATATTGTGAAGATAGAGAAAGGGATAGCGTTAGAAATATCATTTTCAGATGCTCGTTCATTGGTTACCTTTTTTCTGGGGTTTCATATTGTGACATCAGGGAACGTGTTTTTATTTTTGACTATGGTACAAAAGAAAAAGAAAAATAGCTCTTGCTAATACTTGGTGTTTTTTTTTAATCAGAAGAGCACATGGATATATCGGATATAGGCGAGAATGTCATTACAGCGGAAGTTTGCATATTAAATCACACTGATGAATGTATAGGAAATTTCACTGTAGAAATGAGAACTTGTAACGGTCACCTACTATACAGATTTCCGTTGGGCTCTGACTACAACATTTACTACAATACTTACGTTTGTTTTGGTATACTTTCGTTTTGTTTCCTTTATAAAACAAATTGGAAAATAAGTTATTGCGAGAATTTTTTTATTATAACCATTAATACTGTGGAATATTTATATAAGTTAAATGTAAAAAGAATGTTCACATCTCGAGCCTCTGATGATACCTTTGTTTATAGACAATTGATTGTTGTGAATTATGAGGCAAGGTGCAAGCTCGTTATATTAGTGGATATAATATAATATCTCAAAAATTTTGATTTTATGCTGGCAAAAATTCTAAAACTTTTCATTTATTATTTTGCAGATAGAGTAAATACAGATTGTAAGTATCAGGTAAAAATTATTAAATGATATTTTCTAAAATTAAACTTGTTGTCAGATAGTTATATATGTATACCTGTATGATACTGCACGTTTGTAACGTCCTTTTTTCATTAGATAATCGTAACGTTTATATAATCTATATACACGGCTGCAGTCGATTTATGATGTTATTTCATGTTTTCTTGCATATCAGACAGGATTATCTACAGTTTGCACCGGTACTAGAAAAACCTGTCTTACATGAGTGTGTAAGACAGGTTTTTCTAGCACCGGTGCAAACGGTAGATAATCCTGTACTTTAACTGACGTCATTGTCTCGCGCCCTTTATGAATCATATGCGTTCTTAGGATGACGTCATTTTACTGTTATGAATTAACTTGTAAGTCTATACGCAACTATAAGAAACAAGTGCTTAATGAGAATATCAGTTTTCGTAATTTCTGTTCTGAAAATAATTGATATGTATTATGCAATATTAAGAATCAAGTACAGACGGGAATATCTAGCTCTCGGGTAACTGTTTCGGCAGAGCCTCGTTACCGCCGTAAACAGTTACCCTCGAGGTAGATATTCCGGTCTGTACCGGCAGCCAGTTTTAAATTCTTATATTCTCGAGTTAAAGAAATTTGCAGTCTTATAACAAAGATTCATTTAAGATCGTATATAAAAACAGTTATTTGCATCATAGCCCTCTCCTACCGGCTCATATAGGACACTATAACATGTGCAAATAATTTCATAGTGTAGATCTAGATACACTGTTATATCAGTTTTGTTGAGAACACGGGTACAAAGTTAACAATCAACATATAATATAAAGACCAAAACAGAACACTATTGTTGAAAGTGTATAACACAACTTGTTTACCTAAATATGAATATTATTTTCAGCTTGCCAGTCATCAGAGTCTGTTTACTCTGCTGGAAACGTGACAGATAGGTTCCTAAACTTGCCATATACTGATGTCCAGCTTGGATGGTTAGACGCTCATCAAAAAGGGAAACAGTATGTGCTGCCTGCCTTTGACGATGTTGATGAAGTTTTCGATGAATGTATCGGTATCAATTATTGGCATCCCGACGTTTTCTTTCTGAAAGGTGCATTTTGCAAATGGTCATACTTACAACAAACGTACTTTCTTGACAATTAATCGAATTAGATAAATAGTCTTAAATGTTGATGTTAATAACGGCATATATGTAAAGTTATCAAATGCGTAAAAGTTCATGCTGATATTTTGTTTTTGCTTTCATTTTTTCAGCTATCCAGCTGGCCCTAAAAAAGCCAAGCTTACATAAGCGTTTATTCTGAGGGACGTTGAAAAGTTAATTAAACAGTTTTAAGCATTATTCAACTTTGATGAGTGTATACATCAATGCGTCATTTATTTTCAGAGAGAATATTTCTAGATATACCAGAGAACATTCCTGTCAAGTATGCAGTTTGCTATGTTTACAAACGTAACTTAGACTATGATTATTACGATAACTATGTTGATGGGGAATATTATTATGATGAGTATTGTACTCGTTACATTTATGCAAGAAAATGTGATGGGAAAATCCAGTTTGATGTATCATTTTTTCCCTTTTATGGTCATTTGTGTCTCAGTAAGTATTCTTTCAAATCAAATATAGTCAAGTTTAGAATTTTTATCCATATTAAGATCGAATTATTTCAGATAACATTGTTTTAAAGAAGAAGCCGCTTTCGTGTCTATCTTTTCTCAGAATATTTTCGCAACGTGTTTTCCACTCTTGGCGTTATAAAATAAAACATCCAATATAGTGCCTCGCATACTAGAGACCGTTATCCTTTTCAAATTATAAAAACATTTCGTACACTTTCAAATGTAATTACATTTTGTTTTATTAAAAATATCAAATATTGTATATAATTAATTTGTTCTTTGAATGTTTATTTTAGTTAAAGTTTCAATAATTGTTTAAAATGCCGTTGAAATGTCAGTCGAAAAATAAAGGATCAAAATAATGAAATTAAATTCGTTAAAAAATTTTAAAAATACACTAAAGCCGTGGAGCTTGAATGAGGAATTTTGGCGTCGGAGACCATCATCTGAGTTTCCGAAGAAAAACAACTTTCATTTACTACATTGTTTTTAGCTAATTGCATCATTTTCCCGGTTTTTTTAATTACATATTTTATAAAAATATGATAGTCTAATATAAATTCTGGCAAATCTTAATAAGAGATTTCAGTAAAAACATGTGCCTAAAAATATGTTGAAAGGGACATTTATTTAGCTTATCTAAATGTGACATTTAAGAAACTTGACTAGATGAAGATGCGGCCTTAAGTAGTAGTCCGTACAGGTAGTACTCAAAAAAATCATAAACTGTTTAAGTAGTCACACATTAAGAACGGAACTTTATAATAACGTAAAGTACTCATGGGGGTCTAGTATATAATAATAGAATAAGTCAGTATTCAGTATTTAAGCAGAACTCAGTTGACACCTTCAGAACTCTTGTAACCCAAAGTGCGTTGATATGTAGCATATTAACGCACTTTGGGGTCAATTTCTCGATTTTGACCCTAAAGTGCGTTGCACCCAAAGTGCGTTAGACCCTAAAGTGCGGTGTTACAAAGCATATATGACAGTAAAATCAAGATTAAAACCTTAATTACATAATAATAATAATAGTAATAATAATAATAATAATACAATGTAATAATAATAATAATAACAACAACAATAATAATGAATATATACTAATTTTGTCAGTTCATTACAACAATGTGAAAGTAAAACCAGAAATAAAACACAGAGAAGACAGAGTCAGTGGTGATAGAATTATATATAGAGCATACATTCAGTTCAGATGTTCATTTGTGATAACTGGCGATACTGCATACAAAGTGAAATGGTAAAAACACCATTATATAATTATTTGATTTCTGATATTTTATATTTATTTTATTATATTGTTTTGGATAGCTTTATTGCTGAGATTTTTTTTATTTCCAAGACGAATGGCAATGGTTGTTAACAATGGAACAATTAGTTGAATTACAAAATAAATCATTCCGTTACTATATTTCATTAATGTCCTTATGTACACATAAATCATTGGATACTCTACAATTTTTTCTTTATCACTAAACATTTGATGTAATATATGCTCGAACGTTTACTAAAATATAACTGATTAATATACGACATAGTAGTACTTTGCACAAACAAAATATTTTTTTCATGTAAATTATTATTTCATTTGTTATAAACAACATGTCTTTTGGTGTTTTAGTTTTGAAAATTGTACGTTGTGTTGTTTAAAAAGACAAAAGGGAGAAGTTTTCCTAAGTATGTAAATGATCATCATGCTATGTATATATAAAAACGATAAAATGTCCTTAACATCTCTTTCAAAAAGGTATATCAATGGAACACTATGGGATGAGACAGGATTTTCATCTAATCCGGATGACCTTGTATTAAGCGGAGATTCTTTAAATCAATTACGACTTGGATATGAGGTAGATAAAATCAGGGGCTAAATATTTTACCTTTTATAAATCTGCCATAGATATACATATTATAACCGTTGATGGATAATAGTATGTTATTTTAAGTTTTGTATGCGATTTATTGGACGATTCAATAACAATTGTATTGTTCATCCACACTTTAAATACATTCCATGCTTAATGTTAATTTGTTATACTGTGCTCCTAGTGTTGTATTATTACTAATACATGTATATATAATTATATTGCCTTAATAAAACGAGATTAAAGTGTCTTTAAAGTGTTCATAAACTATCTTTGCAACAGCAGTGTAATTTCTCTACGGATAACCACTTTAACCTCGGCATGGCGGAGTGGTTAACGCGTCGGACTAGTAATCTAGCCGCATGAGTTCAAACCCCATCAGGGGCAAGTCGTTGTTTCTTTGAGCAAGAAACTTCACACTCATTGCTCATTTTCTCGCTCAGGTTGGTTCCAGGAACGGATTCGAAAGTGTGGCTTTAAGCTTATAGCTTCTACACAATCGAACTACAATAAACTCAAACTGTATAAATCAAAGTTGACCTCTCTAGATAAACACATTTCAGTAATAACCAAACTCTTTGTCAACTAAAGGGTGTTACCTTTCAGAAGTTTTACCGTACTTTGAAGACTTTAGAGTTCAAAAATAGTTGTTACATTCATTTACTTATCAAACTATCGTTGGGAACTTATAAGTCTCTTTGAAAACGGGGATAAAACATTTCGTTTCAGGTGAAATGCGGTGTCATTGCAGCTGGGACAACAGATGAAAAATTAAGCAATAATTTTTTCGCAGGTTGGAAGGTAATATATTAACGATATTATTTGTATAAACATTAAATGCATAATTTGTGTACAACTTTTAAAATCTATTATTTAGATATTCGCATCCAGGCTTACTTAATTTAGTATTCCGAGATTGTGATATGAATGGTTAAAACGATATATTATTTTTTTCTTGATACACCTACTTGGTAAGAATAATGCAATTGTTAATAAAAAGATTATCGAAACACGACACTAAATGATTTGAACGGGGGAGCGTCACCGATTGTTTTGGTATTGTTTTTTCTCTCCTTTGTATCAAATCAATTTCCCTGTCGTCTCAATATGAAACCCCAGAATAAATGAACCAATGAAAGAGCATCGGATCATGATTCTCCATCATTTCCCATTCCTTGTTATCACAATAAGTAAATCCCAGAAAATGTAGCCAATCAACGAGCTTGCTTATTTATATTAGACTGACAGCTGCATTCCATTTAACGCACTGTGCTTTTATGGTTATACGATTTAACTCATGACACTTTTTCAAAGGAAAAGTAGTCTAAACTATGATACAATAAACAGTTAGCGGATTATCATCTTATGCATGTGATCGGTAAAGATTTCAGACACATCCAGAAGACTTCCAAAGAATGGATATGCTATCATTGAAGTTGAACAGACAGTGCCTTTAGGTTGTACATACATCAATACTGGAGAAGAAGTGTGCGAGGAAACGCTTTCGATTTCAGACGTTAACCGTGAAATTGATGCATGCAACGCTGGAATACACGTGATGAACGCTGATAATAACAGTACATCTTCTCACAAAATAAAGGTTCGTTGATAAAAACTGTATACTCAATGTGTTAATGTATGTTTAAAACTGAATTGCAGTTCATCTCGAGGTGATATTTATTTCTTCTTTAAATACATATTCTTCCAAATAGAATTATTGTCAGTATTCCCATCATCGAGACATAAATGGTTAGACGTAAAAGGTTTATATTTAGGTACATGTATATATATATATATATATATATATATTATATATATATATATATATATATATATATGTACCTTTATTGAACTACATTAAGTAGAGGATAAAAGGTTATAATTTTACTAAGGTATATATCTATATTGAACATATGTCAATTTCTACAATATATAAAGGATAAAGAGTTAATGTTTATCTAGTTATACATCTATATTTAAAATGAGTGTTTTTCTACATTATTTAGAGTTTGATGGTAGGTGATGTTTGGAACTCCAGCATCAAGTATAGATTTAGATTAACTACAATAGATCATGACTACGATGACAAACTGAACTTTGACATGGAGTTGCTTGTAACTAAGTCTGAACTGACAGAAGTAGTAAATACTGAGGTAAGATTTTATTGTTGAGCTTTACATGAAGGTGCTTCATACAAAACCAATATAATTTGTTATTACTGAGGTATGATAAAATTGTTGGCGTATACATAGAGGTGTTTGTCACAAAATCTGTACTTACGGAGTTGGAAGATAAAAATGTAAAATAAAATTGTTTGCCCATACATGGAGGTGATTCATACGAAACTGATTTTGATGACAATTACTGATGTTAGATAAAATTGTTTGCATGGACTGTAGCTAGATCTGCACTGACAGAAGTGGTTATTACTGAGGTAAGATTAAGTTGTCGAGCTATACATGGAGGTGTTTGCAAAATTTGTCCTGACAGAGGTGGTAAAGTGGTAAACTAAAATTGTTTTCCTATACATGGAGGTGCTTGTTTTCACTGCCAGAGTTGGTAAATAAGGAGGTTAAAATAAAATTGTCAGCCTATACTTGGAGATGCTAACTGACAGTGTTGGTTAAAACAATTGTTGAGGTGCTTCTTATATAGTTTACAGACAGAATTTGAAGAAACCAAATAAGGTAGAATTGATGACATAAACATAAAGATGCTTGTAACAAAGTTTACAATGACCTTTTCTCTCCATTAATGATTTGTAATTTAGAAAACTTATAAGGTGTACACCAGTTCTAAAAGAAAATGAAGCACTATTATAAAATTTTAAAATTACAATCATCCATTTCACTATTCTTTTTTATAGTTCAATAGTATATTACACATGGTATATCTTTAATTATTTCAGCGCATTGGAATCATTGCGGTAAGAACAAAATCAATACAATTCTAAGGATCATATCATTTTAATATCGAAATGCTTTAAAAAGTATTAATAACTTTTTATGCTTTATAACGTACATGTATTAAAATGTGTACACTTTTATGCATCTGCAGATGGAAGTGCATGAAACAATGTTGCATTTACCTTTTATTGTCCTAAACAACTGCAATCCTATGTAATATTTTGTTCAAGACAGCTTTTTGTTTTCAATATTTTTTATCATGTTTTTATTTACTTATTTATTTATTGTTTTTTTGTTTGTTTTTTGGAAGGGGTGGATGTGATTTGTGGTATTTGTTTCTTTGTTTTATTTGTTATTTTATTGTAAGCATGTAATGTTGTTTTTCCTTGTAAGATTGTAAGCATTTAACTCAAGGTTTAGATGAACAATATTCTTATGTAATATAAAGGTTGAAGTGACACACTCGGCAATACACAGATACAAACGATGCTACTCGCATGCTGATCCCCACGTGCGAACCGCCGACGGAAGGTAAGTGTAGCTTGGTCACTTATTATAGAGAGACATGAGGTACCAGGGTTGCGTTTCATAGAATGTGAATAGTCCGAATTCTTAAGACCAAAACTGGGATAGTTGTGTGTTTCAAAGAAAAAAAATGTCCTGACCTATGACTCTTATATCATGAATGATTCTGAATAGCATTGGTATTTACACATTGCGAATAAAAAGGTTTGTAATTGAAGTGGCTGCAGTACTTTTAGTTATTTCTATTTGGCTTCTGGTGCTTACGGTACTCCTTATTCGAATCGTGTTTAATCACCCATAGTATATTTTGGCTGCTTTTAAAATGTGTATTTTGACGTCTTGTGTGTGAAATGCATGCTTCATAACATCTGATCCACTTTAAAAATCCATTTTATTTAGTTTCGTCCATTGTTTCCTTGCATTCCTTTAATTAAGAATAACACGCCGCCCTTCATGGAATGGCACTAACATGTCACATTGAAAAGTCCATTATAACCGCCGTGCGATCACATCTGAAGTAAACATTTTACCATTTCATGTTAATTGTTGAATTCTTCTCTGGCCGATGATGAATTTTATAAGAACTTCATCCGACTCATATTAAAAACAAGGAACGTAATAGTTCCTAATAATATTTGAATGTACACATAAGGATTTTATCATTTCAAATTGGATAAGCTTTATAAAATTTGTATATATCTAAATCAACACCAGACTTAGACTGTTTTTTGTATGTTTGTATAGGTATTTCGGGCAACAATTGGTCGGTGATCACATGTTTTATAGAAACAAGGCATATCAGACAGAGGTAAGTTTTGATTGATCATCTATAATCAAATATGTTGATCTGTCTAAACATGCGTGACTCGAATAATTCAAACTGAATTTACATTGCCTTGAACAGTGAAGTTGGACTAAAATATTACATATTGATAACGTCGCTTTTCATTTGACCTTAGTTATGTTATATTATCAATATATCTGGTGTACATTTTCATTTAAAATGTGCTTGAATACATGCTTACATATTAACATGCATGAGCAGAACTATGACAATTTACAATACATATTAAAATGATATTTGTAATATCAAAGAAGTGTAATTAATGCGTTATAAACACTTTTGACATGGTATATGACCAATAATAGATTAACTATGTAACATTATTATCTAATAATACAAAAATTGTAACCGTTGACACGCGGCCACATAAACATAGTCAAAATATTTCAACATCAAAAGTTAAATTCTGTGGTACTTTTTGTTCTGGGTCATAATATCGCTGGGAGATATTGCCCATACATAAAATACTGCTAATCCTACAGAAGAACGGTCGTTTTTTACATTTAGTACAACAGAATGTCGCTTTCCACAAAATACTTCCTTTTCTGCAACAAGACTAAACAACAATCAATTTATACTTATAATTATATTATTTGATATTAAAGGTTCATGAATATGCCAGATACTGTAATGATAATGGCGGAGCAGTGTGTGCTTGTGGTGTAGCGATCAGGGCAGGGGCTGATGTCTTTGTAATTAACAGATGTGGCAACTACACGATATTAGACTTCTTACAATGTAATGATGGAGGAATCATTGATGTTCAACGGATCCATGATTATCGTTACAAGGTTTTGGTTTCTTTTCTTCATGTGCTGCTGAAACATTCAGGGGCTCCAAATACTATTTTGAAAGAGGAATTTAATAAACATAAAAGGACTCCATAGAGGTCCAAAACCAAATAAAATCGAATTTCTTTCATAGATCAACCTGGGCATTTAATACGGAAAGATATGCAAAAGATAATTAAGAAATATACTCAGAAATACATTGAAACCAGCTATTTGCAGTAGATGTGAGTGAAAAACATTGAACGATTTTAAATGTTGGGCCATCTTTCATAGTTGAAATAATTATTCTGGTAAAACGGAGTAAGTGAATGATCTGAAATTGTGCTTACAAGTTTTTGTTCTTCATCTAATGGAGAATTCATCCCGAACAATTAAAAGTCCCGTCACGGCAAAAAACCTGAGAGCAGTCCCTTTATAATGGTTTAAGCGATGGCATCAGTAAAAATGAGGAACACACCCCTGTTCGGTGTATCTTGATTTTCCGTGTATATGAATTTCATGTATACATAATTTGGCTGATATGTTTTGTTCCTGTAATTTGGATTCAATTGTTTTAAGTCTATTGTTTCTGTTGCATGATTACTGTTGTATTTTGAGCATAATGTTTACAAATTTATTGAAATGCAATCGAGTGTATGTTTGTTGTTAAGATGCAATGAAATCTATGTTTTATTTATTTTGCAACTGAGCTTGGTGTATGTACAGTTCTTCTATTTGTGATGTAAATGAGCTCTGTCTATGTTTGGTAGGTAATAACACCAATAGGAACTGTGATCATTGTAAATCTTCACTCCTGGGGGAGGACGATGGATATTGATATTTACTTATCTGCCAAAGATTTTCACAACACTGACGGACTTTGTGGATATTTTGATGGAGATAGAAACAATGACTTTAGGCACAGAGATGGCTCCCAATCGTCTCCATCACATGACTATTATGGTTATAATGACTTTATAAAAAGTTGGAGGTATACAGCAATAATTTAGTTGCTATTTGTTATTGTTTAACACTTGTCTCAATCAAATTTTTCCCCAAATGTTAAAAGATCGAAAGCACAAAATGTTTTTACAAGTTTATTCTTCATTGAAAGATGTAATGTTCTTAATATTTTTGCTTCATTTTTTTTTACATACATGTTTATATCTATTTTACATTAATTTATATATCTATTTTACATTAAATTATATTTCTATTTTAATTTATATATCTATTCTACATAAATGTATATACCTATTCTACCTATTATACATTAGTTTATATATTCATCCTACATTTATTTATATATCTATTCTACATTGATTTATATTCAAAATGTTAGTATGTCTGAAGTATCACTTTATAAAAATAGATTACTAGATGAGGAAAACTTCTTACATAATGCCAGCCGTGTCTTAGAGAAATGGAATGTTAACAATGGAGCATCCATGGATCCAGCTTGTTCGAACGGTAACTCGATATCTAAGAATAAATGTCAGTTTGGCGGAGAGAAGAGAAAACGGCGAGATGTCGTCACAAGAATTGGAAAAGAAATAATGTCAAGTATCAATAACATGAGAGAAAAGGTAAGTTGCCTAAGCAACATGTAAATGTAACTCAATGCACAAATGGTAGGTTCATATTATTACAATGGTTACAAAATACATTTATGCATAATGAGATAATTAATAAATAACTGTTGATGTGTTATCTATTCATGCTACATATATGTTTAGATATTTAGGCTCGCTTTGCAGTTTGATTTTTTTTGCCATTCACTTCCGTTTAATAATTAATAACGACGCATTAATTTAGATTAACTTATATTTTACAGATCATTAGAAAAACATTTTTAATACCTTCACAGAGATATTGAACAATGAAATTAAACGAAAATCTTTATCACCAAGCCACAACAGTTTTCAAATGGAAACAAAACTCCTTTACAATGATGTATTAAGTAAAAATGGAAATATAATACTTATTTCCCAATTTTATCCAATAGAGAAGTACTGGAGGGGACATTTCAGACGATAAAGCTCGTGAAATATGTAATAACTCTATAACTGGAGCCCCATCCGTCACAGAATTCTCGGACCAGCTTGGAGATGAAGACACAAACATTGTATTTGACCAATGCGTGTATGACATTATTGTAAGTCTACTCTTATTTCATGAAGTATAATTTTATATATAATCATTTGAAAATTATGTAACATTGTTTGACAGTACCAACAGTTCCAAGTATCATCCCTGATACCTCAGCCGTTGAATTAAATAGTTGTAAATAAGGTATATTATTTATAGAAGGCATTAGGTAAAACATTTGTAATATAGTTTGGGCATCAGCCAACACCGATGTTCTATATAGTTTAATTACTTATTTAACATTAGAGCATGGTAACAGTACAGTATGGGCATCAGTACATGTCGATGTTCTACATAACTTTATTACTTATTTAACATTATAGCATGGTAACAGTACAGTTTGGGCGTCAGCCCATGCCGATGTTCTACATAACTCAATTACTTATTTAACATTATAGCATGGTAACAGTACAGTATGGGCGTCAGCACATGTCGATGCTCTCAATAGTATAGCATCAACAGTGATCAGTCTAAGTCCTGATTTTGCTGCCAACAATTCTGAAACAGTAAAAGCATTCCTGTCACAGACATGTACAAATAACTGTAGTGGACATGGAGTATGCTCCGATTCAGGTCAATGTTTGTTTGTTTTTTGTTTTACTTTTTGTTTGTTCTGAATTTATAAGATTTGATTTTATAAACATTAATTTGTTTCAGCATATGGATTAAATATAAAATGATAGTATGTGTTATTAATATGTGTTCAATAACATTTCGATTGACTCGTTGTTGTAGGGTAACAATGTAAAAGTTACCCATGCCACTCACTTGAAAAGTGCTTATTAACAATCCTAGAATGGTATAACATCCGAAGTGAAGGGTGTTATTTCAGTTCAAGGGTTGCTTATATGCACTATTACCCTGACAGACATGTTATTTTTTTTATAATACCGGACCAACATAATAATACCTCATGTAAACTGTTTTACTATACATTCAAATGTGACGTCACATGGTGTTATATTGGATATGAATTGCAATATTTTCTAGGGGGCGAGTAATCTACTTTAATAGACTTACGAAAGGGTAATGTTCTCTCTCCTAATAACAATCAATCGGAGTAATAATGCACATAGCGATAAAAAATTGCATTAAATTATTTTTACGGAATAATAATAAGAAATAACGTGTCTGTCAGAGTGTTATATCAGTTCTCGGGTTCTTATTATGCACTTTTAATCTGAAAGACATGTGTTATTTTTATACTGTGTTTTTATCTCATAATTACATGTATAAGATTTCAAGATTAACCTATTAAAATCAATTATAAATGTAAATAATAAATGTTCGTACTAATCCAGGACTGTGCAGTTGTGAAGATGTGTTCCGTGGACCTGACTGTAGTATAGATTTGAGAATTCCACCAATTATCTATGACATAAATGACGGTGGTGTATGTGATACAGCTGATGGGAATGAATGTGATTGTTTTGTTATACGAACTGATAACATATTTGATGGCTTCAAATACGAAATAACAACTTTTGAGGTACAAATATATTTTACTTGTGTTACTTGTCATATAGAATATGTTTAGATTTTTTTTTTATTTTTTTTTGGCAATACAGTAAATCAAAAACGCCACTCGATAATTGCCCTGCAGATATTTTTTGACAACATGGTGCCGCTTTTACAACTTCGTACAAATTGGTATTGCACGACCGTGCATATATTTAAACGTGGCGTCTTTTGCGTTATACAAACTTAGTGTCCAGCTTTATTTGTCATCCAATGAAAACGCTGTATTTCTTAAAAATTATGTGTGTTAATTTTCATAGAAGGAAAAAAGTCGATACTATATTGAAATCCGTTCATAGTCGCCTTCTATTTTTCATAGTGCTTCATAGTACCGCGTAGTGACGTAATCAAGGGCCAAATAAAGCTTGACACTAAATATGTTAGTGTTCATCCTTAGCTGTTCTACAGAAATTAGAAACATTCTCCTGTCGCTATCGCTCCCGTCGAAGTTTCTAATTTCTGTAGAACAGCACGGATGAACACTAACATATACATATTGTAAATGCGCGCTAAATTTTATTGTTTTACTATAGGCGTGTCAATGAAAAAATGACCTCTTTTCACTTTAAAAGGTCTTTTGTTTGGGCATTAATTTTATTCAACTATTTCAATGAATTCAGTATTGAATTTACACTCATTAAATGTCTTCTATTTACGACACACATGTTTCTGATTTACCATTTTTCTGATAATTTATTTGCAAACGTCACAATTTTCACTTGTTGTTCTTTGTTTTTGTTTGCTCTTTTCTTGTTTTGTTTATTCTAGAAATATGTGAAGTCTTCCTGTTATATTTTAGATGTTATTCGATGGCACAAAAACAGAGGTAGGTAAGTCTAATAATGTCGGGAAGTATGAGGATATATTTACCGGGGAGTGCTGCGTTCCCGTCCAGCGTTCCAAACGTTCAACAAAGAAATCCCAACCTTCAGTACTGGTGTTTGACTTTGTTATAAGTAACGACGGAGAGAACTTCGGACAAAGCAAGTCCGTATATGTTTATGATTCCACGTGTTTGAATTACGTCATCAACGGTGATGGGGAGATTGTAGTCATAAATCTTGAGGTAGAATACAAAAAAAAGATATTTTTAGTCACATTGATTATAAATAAAATAAAACCAAGAGATGTGTTGCACTGTAAATCTGAAATTTATAGCTAAACTATTCTTACGGACATTTAAACCTCGTGAATTTTCGAATTCACCTTCGTGAATTCACAATTCAAACTAAGCGAATTCACGGTTTCAACATACGGAATTCGAAAATGATTTCAACTTCATAAATTCACTATTTCAACTTCATGAAGTAATGTTTTGTAACTTTTGAACTTCACTATTTCAACTGCGCGAATTCATGATTTCAACTTTATGAATTCACATTTTAATGTCACGATTTCAACTTTACGTATTCACAATAATTCGAAATCGCCTTAATCAAATTTCGCCTAAGTCGAAGAATTGACGTATTGTCAAACATAGAATGTATATGGGAAAGGAATGTCAAGTATAACGTTAAAGAGTCAGATCACGAAAATCAGTTTCCTATCAATGTAGTTTATCAAAGATATATTCATCGATTTCCCTTTCTATAAATATTTAAACACACGTAAATTATCTTTTTTCTTATATGTTGTTCATCCATGTAGGAAAATTTCTGTTACATCGGTGGATCTTGTATTACGGGAGATGCCACCCTACAAACATCATCGGACTGCTTTGTGTGCGACTCCCGGACAAACCCATACGGCTGGACTAAAGGTGTGATGTGTTTTAATTTACATTTTACTTTATATTGACAGTTAAATATCAAGTTTTATTTTACATTTGACATTTAAAGTTACGGACTGTTGTGGTGAATGTTATTAGATTAATTCGAATCATTCGAATAAAGATGTTGGTTTCGTTTTAAAGCAGCATGCCTCCAGATGAGCGAAACTATTTCAATAAATCAAAAATTGACTTTTAGGCAAAGTAAAAAGATCCAAAATTCAAGTAATAATTTACATATTATGAGCGATTAATAGTGAATTTTCAATATGTGTAACTATATTACTAACGCAGGAAGGTTGTTTCGGGGCATATTTTGACCTCTTTTTGTAATAAACGTGGGTTGTTAGTGCTATAGTTAATGTTTAAAATGATTCCTTTTGGTTACTAATCAATAATATACATTTAATTTAATTTTCAATTTTTTTATGAAAATAAGCATTAAAAACAGAAGGCGTACTGCTTTAACTGATAGTCTGTTTTCAAAATTATGAAAAGTTTCTACTTGCGGTATTTCTGTAGGTTTCCTTTAAATTCTATGAGATTAAAAAATAGTTTTAACAAATTTTATTTTGTTTTATAAGATTTTTTAAAAAAAGTTTTAACAAATTTTAGTTTCCTGTAATGATGACGACATCGGTTTATCGTCTGCTGCACTTATCGGCATCATAGTTGGTTCAGTCTTTGTTGGTATCATAGCAACTGCTGCCGTGGTGTATGTACGATGTTACAAAGTCACGAAGAATCGGCGGTAAATATAAATTTGTATATTTTCTTTAATATACTGTAGATAGAATTGATTTTATTTTTTCTCACGTGGACAGACTTAATAAATGTGACAAATGTGTGTGTCGTGCTGCTGAATGTTGTGCTAAAGGTCGATCCAGCTTCACATACAAGCTCGACACTAACAAAAGGAGACAAAACACGTATGTCAGTCTGGTTGTGCTGAATATCGAGCCAACTGCACATCCAAGCTCAACATAAAAAATCGTTACATCTTTACATTCCATCTCAACAGTGATAAATCGAATGTCGAGCTGAATGTCGTGCCAGCATATCCCATCTCGACATTGATAATCGAATGTATAGCTACCTGTTTAATGTTGATTTCTGCGCCAACTTCATAGTCTTATTTAACCGAGGGAATCGATTTTCAGAAAAAAATGTTTTTTTTTATTTCACTTTTTTAATATAAAATGGATTTTTTTTACGTACCGAAATGTCTTTTCTAGGTATTTTTATGGAATTTTTATTCTTAAAGTATCTGTTTCAAGACTAAGGAAATATGTGTTATAAGTTTTGTTGTCCATCACATTTATTCATCCGGCTTTTATTAGTTCTGTTCGTTTTATCACTACTGAGTACTAAATTTTCAAGTAAAAATAAAAATTCATAATGGATAAGAATAAGCGCTGCTTTCTGTGCAGTATTTACTGACAAAACATATAAATCCATAATTTATAGTGAACATGATCGTTTTAATTTACGTACAACTTGTTTATATTTGAAACAGAACTGTGTCTGTGGGTGATATGAATTCAAGCCAGACGTACTTATCAGCGGGCCCAGCTCGAGAAACATGGGGTGGTGACAAACATTAAAATATGAAAGAAAACGGATATGTCGTACAACGTTAGTGAATGGAAATAATAATGCTGCTCTTTCTTACTTTTTGTGCGTGCGAGTGTCATAATTATATACTGCGACTTTTTTTAAACTTATACGTTTTGTATTATGAACATTTTCAATATTCAGATTTATAATATATTTGATCACAGAGATTTTTAAAGTAAAAGTGATGAATGATGCATGTTGATGTTGTTGTTGATGTTTTTGTTGTTGTTTGTTTTGTTTTGTTGTGTTTTGGTATTGTTGTTGTGTTGTTGTTTTTTTGTTTCAATAATAATATTTTTTTGTAAAATTGAAAAAAAAATCATTTGTTGAATATTCTCGTACATATTGTATTATATAAAGTACTCAAATTCTTGTTTACAGGCGTGGATTCAGGTTGATGGTGCTGATTCAGGGTGGGTGTGCGGATTTAGACTGGAGGCGACCATAAAATTTACAGTTTAACCCATAATAATGTAGCTGTTGTTTTAATAATGCCCATGTTTAATGTAAATTATAGAAAATCTTTAAATTGCAACAAAAACAATCCTGGAATGCATCACTTACCCTCCCGTTCCTACCCGTCTCTCCACTCCGAGCTTGTCTGCTCGTGCCGTCCTGATTCCGCTCTGGATCTCACTTACTCTCCCGTTCCTACCCGCCTCTCCACTCCGAGCTTGTCTGCTCGTGCCGTCCTGATTCCGCTCTGGATCTCACTTACTCTCCCGTTCCTACCCGCCTCTCCACTCCGAGCTTCTCTTCTCGTGCCGTCCTGATTCCGCCCTTGATCTCACTTACTCTCCCGTTCCTACCCGCCTCTCCACTCCGAGCTTCTCTGTTCGTGCCGTTTTGATTCCGCCCTGGATCTCACTTACTCTCCCGTTCCTACCCGCCTCTCCACTCCGAGCTTCTCTGCTCGTGCCATCCTGATTCCGCCCTGGATCTCACTTAATCTTCCGTTCCTTCCCGCCTCTCTACTCTGAGCTTCTCTGCTTGTGCCATTCTGATTCCGCCCTGGATCTCACTTACTCTCCCGTTCCTACCCGCCTATCCACTCCGAGCTTCTCTACTTGTGCCATCCTGATTCCGCCCTGGAACTCACTTACTCTCCTGTACCTACCCGCCTCTCCACTCCGAGCTTCTCTGCTCGTGCCGTCCATGATTCCGCCCTGGAGCTCACTTACTACCCCGTTCCTACCCGCCTCTCCACTCCGAGCTTCTCTGCCCTGGACCAAACCAAAGAAAATTACTAACTGTCAAAATACTTGTACGGTGCTGTCCAAGAAAATTTTAGTATATTATACAGTGGAAGGGAGATCATCCGTACAATAAGGTGCATATGATATGCATAAGTTATTTCATCTAAGAGGCACAGGACGCCAAACTGCTTTTTGTTAAGTTCGGTTGAGTACAACTATCATTACGTTTGGCCGAATGTGTACATGGTCCAGTTTTCATTTTGTAGAGTCAAGTTGGGCCTAGGCTCAGTAAAATTAACAGTGTGTTGTGTCGAATTGGCATTAAACTGAGTTGACGTTATGTTAATTAAGTCAAGTTGACAGTTTGATGAGTAAACGTGTTATAAGTTGAAGTCAAAAATTACAAAAGGTTGAGTCTCGTTGATTTTAAGCCAAGTCTGCATGACATTACGTTGAGTCAATTACATATTATGTTCGGTAAAACTAGCATTTATGTTAAGCCAATATCACACAGGGCTTCCATTAGTGGAAGTTTGGGAATCATTTAGTCCTGATTTGTGCTTGTGACATCCAAAATATAATAATGTTCCTACCTTACCTATATAATATGACTTCCAATGTCAGATATTTTCAGTCCCTGGCTTCCAAATTTTGAAACTTGATGGAAGCCCTTATCACATTATGTTTGGTTAAGAATGCATTTTATTATATTTATTGAATATAATGATGCCTTGAGTCAGTTTGACATACGGGTCAAACTATCATAATGTTCAGTCAATGTTACACCATTATGTTTAAACATTTTGATATTGCATTGAGTCAACTAGGCATTATATTTGGTCGAACTGGCATCTTATTAATAATTTAAACAAATATATGTACTGTACATGTCTGTACATATACAAAATAAAATTATTTATTTTTAATTATGATTGATGAAGACTTTCTAAATGTTGGAATATGCATAAGCCCACTGAAAGTTATAGGACTAATAATGTTCTTCTAACTGGATTTATTTTTGCATCCTTGACAGTGGATAAATGTCTTAGAATTCTTAACCATAATGGATAAATGTCTGATTGACTTAGTTAACTATATGTAGTGGATGAATGTCTTATAAAATTCTTAACCATAATGAATAAATATCTAATAGACTTAATTGGGTAAATGTCTTATAGAATTCATAACCATAGCGGACATTGTCGCCATAATGGATAAATGTCTTATAAGCCTATCAACCATTATTGTGGATAAACGTTGAGAAATGAATGGCCGAACATTATTTTTTAAATGAACAACTTTTTTTAACATTTTGTCCGACTATAAAATTCGTTAATTTTCCAAAGGTTTAATCTTTGTGTAGTAATGTTACTCATTCACAATGAAAAGCCAACTATAAGATATATTTAAGTTTGTGATTGTGCAATACACTTTCATTTAAATGCGAGGAAAACTTCAAGAGATAAAAAAAAACATTTCAAAACACACTAAATTTTATATTCATTTTTATTCAATTTAATCCTTTTATATATGCAGAAAAAACAAATTATGAACAAAATTGTCGAACGTGACGTCATTTTATATTAGAGCTCATTGTGGAGATAAGCAAAAGCTGTCGGTAGGCCAGTGTAATTGACTGTTCGATAATAAGAGTCTGGATAATATAGAATTTTATAAGGACATAATGGGGCATGATTCAGTCAAAATCTACGTTAGAGTTATGGGCCTTGTACAGTGAGCAGCTGTTGTACCCCGAAATAGTGTGTGAAGTTGTAACCCCGTTTTCCCTTCGTTAGTTTAAGAGATACATGTACCAACTATAAAAAACTTAAACAGAGTGTGACGACGGCATCGGGGTGAGTACAAAAACTTTCCCTATTCTTTGAATAGTAGAGCTAAAAATAAGAAAGTAGAAAATGAAGCTAGGACATTACATAAAATACCAATAATCTCCATCATATTAAAATCTTCGTAACGGGAAAATGAGTTATTCGCTATAAGAAACTCACATATTTCAAGAAAAAAATCATATTCTAACACTGTCGGATTTTTTACTATATAAACAAAGAAGGCCCGAAGCGTGCATCATTCTACAACAATGCACTCGCCGTTCTTATTACCTCCCTGTGTATTTTCACATTGAGGTCGCCATTTTGTTTAAAAAATCTGATAAATAAAAACTTTTTTTGTCGAATTTTGTTGTGAAGACTATCTGGAATGAAAGAAAATGGTCTAACTAAGAAAATGAATCCGAACACCAAAATCTTTAATTCAGTCGTTAACGCTGTACAGACGTTTAAAGTGTTGTTTACGTGACGTCACAATGTAGCACGTGCAAAACAATCAAATCAAGTACGCTATTTTGGTTTAAACATATTTATTTTTTCATCAAGTTACAATATTCACATCAAACAAAAATTTATACAAAATCATGATAAAGTGGATTGAACTGGAAACGAGTTAAGTTTTACATTTATTTCACTTTTAATATGTTGTATTTCGCTTGAAAAATTATAGAGTGATATAAAATAAACAAACAAAATTTTACCAACGTTTTCAAAATTCGTTATTCTCAAAATGTTTCTACACACGATAGATTTAACGACAGTTTTTTTTAACCCACTGGAACAGCCTTTAAAGAACGTTTCTATGGGAAACTCTCAGGCGAAAACAAATTTAACCACCAAACATAAAGTCCATCTTTATAATAATAATTATATTTTTTCTTGACGTGTTAGAATGGAAATAGATATTAATTCTTCGTGCATTATTGTATAATAATGCACGTTTTTCGTTCAAATGCTTTGTAATTAATCACTCAGGCCTATCGGCCTTCGTGATTATATTACTACGCATTTGAACTCAAACCGTGCATTATTCAACAACAATGCACTCAGAATTGATATCTATTTTCTAAATATATTTTTGAAATATTTGTACATTCGCCACGCTTGTTGTTAATGTTAAACACAATGTCCGGATTTTTTTTTTTGTATTTGTAATAACTGTTATATTATGAAATATAAAAATATTGCCCGAAACAACAACATAAAGTATATTTTAGGAAATAGTCGTCCACTTCCAGAACATCTGTCGTTTGCTGTTTGTCTATAGGATGTGTACCTAAACGATAAAAATACATGAAATGAGATTGCGTTATACATGTATATTTATAACATAATCATCCGCAGTTTTGCACATAAATGTTTTGTCGTGTACTTTCCAATAGTGTTCAGGTAAATTAAAATAAAATATTATCTTAAATATAAGAATGTTTAAACATATACTAGTACGTGTGACTTTATTTCTGCCATATCTTATCTATGAACATACTTCACTTCATCACTTGATCTGGCCTCGGTGTTACGAGATGCTATGTCGTGGCCACGAGTTACTGAGTCTTGCCCACGAGATAATTAAGTGTTGCTTACGAGATACTATGCCGTAGCTACGAGATACTAATTCGTGGGAACGAGATAATTAAGTCGTGTGCACGAGATAATTAACCAGTCAGATTCTGAGTTTGAGAGAAAATTTCTTTAAATCCTTCGGCACTGGTCATTGCAATATATTTATTCAATTTTGATAGAAGAACATTGGTGAAACGGGAATAAAAATGTATGGCTTATCCCATATTGTGTTCAACAGAATTTACCAAAATGATATATCAGAACAGAACAGAACAGAACAGAGTTTATTTCATAACTTGTACACACATAGGTACATCGTTATTACAAACATTTTTAAATATAATTATAGGTCACATATTTTACAATTACACATAAAGAAAAAAACAAATCAATACAATACTGAGCAATGGGATATTTAATACATACAATGGGATACATTACATACACTGACAAAACTCCATTAATCAATTATATATCCATTTCTTGAAATTACTTCTGTAAATAAATAATGAAGAGTACTAAATTTAAGCGGAGAACAAACTATAACTTCGCTTTTAATCGAATTTGTTTGATAAATTATTTATATAATAATATACTGAAAAAACATCAAGGTATATATAATCAAAACTGCATCATAATACTATTGAAAATTTCTTAAGTAATCATTTCGTTTGATGTTTGCCTTTTTTAAATAATAACATAAGTTTGTAAGTACTTTATGACTTTTAGATTGTAGTAGTTCTATAAATTTGGCCATACTAGGCCTAATGTAAAAATATCGCTTAATATATTGACTACGTAGATTTTCATAAGCACTGCATTTTAAAACAAAATGATATTCGTCTTCGAGTTCGTTAGTATCACAGAATTGACAAGTTCTTTCGTGGCGTTCTTCACGGCCTCGACCATACCTTCCGGACTCAATTCTAAGTCTGTGGAGGGACACTCGAAGGCGTGTAAGAGAGCTTCTTAAAGATTTACAATTAATCATATCTAAATATAATTCATAACAGAACTGATCTTTTACATATGAATATAGATGACTGAGCACACCATTACTAGATACATCTGCACGCCATTCCTGTAAATAACAATCGATAAGTCTTTGTTTAAAAACAGGTAAGAACTGTTTTAACAATACACTATCGGGAAAATTCCATATTTCGGCAAAACCAAGTACCGCAAGCAGTTTTTTAATTTTTCATGGCCAGTTATTTGTGCCATTTTCACATTTGTCACGGGCATTTTTCGTAAATGCATTTTAATATAATGTTATCCGTATTCAGCTAATTTAAACCAATACTTTATTATATGTGTGTACCTAATGATAAATAACGGATACCTCCTAATTCCCCGTAGACCGATACGTTACTTGTACTTAATTTAACGCCAAAATCGTTTTACAGTATTGAGATGTAAACGTTCTAACTCTTGGACTTAGTGAAGCCCCAAAACCGGCAGGCATAGTTTAAGATAGATCCCACAAAAGCATCAAACAATTGAAGCGATATCGAAGGGCTAAGTTCATATTGTTTTATATTATTTAGCAGTATATTTGAGGCTTTAAGGCCTTTACGACTATGTACTGGTTATTTAATACGGAATGAGCCGGTAATAATTAAACACCACCCCTAGGTAGTTGAAGTCATTAACTATTTCGTAGAGGCACATTATTGAAATGCCAGCGCCTCATTACATTTTAGCCCACCCCTACGACGAAACACCACTATCTTTGGTCTTAGATGTGTTGACTTGTAGGCCCCAGTACTGGCAGTACTCGTATAATTTGTCTAAACTGGCCTGCAAAATCTTCAACAGAATGGCCAATAATTGCCATATCATCGGCGAATAGCAGTATGATAAGGCACATATCATAAATAGATAAACCTGATTTAATGGATCCTTGCAGGAAAAGTTCCAAGTCTTCAAGAAAAAGAGCAAACATGACTGGCGAATTATTTAGGCCTTGCCTCAATACAATGGAAACATTGAAAAAGTCAGAATAGGAATCAGAATGTTTAACACAAGACTTAACTATATTATACATAGATCTAAACATTTTTAAAAGTTTTCCATCCAACCCAAGATAATACAATTTAAACCACAGTGCCTGTCGATAAACGGAGTCAAAAGCCTTTTGTAGATCTACAAATGCACATGGCAAACGTGACCCTTGCGAAATAACATGTTCTATGAGGTTATGTAATGTTATGTAATGCAAATATAGCATCTACAGTGCTGTGACCCTTTCTGAAACCGAACTGGGCGTCAGATAGAATATTATATCAATGATTACGTTGTGGCAATGTGATTAAAATCAGCTCTAAATAACGCTCCGCTACATAAAAGAAATAAGTAGATATGAACAAAGTCTGATTGGACGCAGGTGTCAAATCCGAGCACTGAGATCGAACGCCACAATGATTTATTGCTTCGAATAATTACATGTATACTTCATACCGGAGATGGCATCAGTGATACTCGTTCAGTTGACATTAAATAGCAATACATATATCATAAACTTACCATGTACCCGATTGACCGTTGTCACACTTATGAGAAACCGTGTTTAAAAAGTTTTGCCAATGTGTTAGAGACGTCCCTGAACACGCTCCATTTATCAATGTGTCTAATGTCCCTTTAAGGGTCAGCCATTCCCTGAAAAATATGTTAAATTTGGATTATATTAAAGCTACATGCCACCAGATTAGTTACTGTTTATAATATATTTATTTGTATACATACGCATGCAGAACTGATATATTAAAGTAATAAAGGTAAGACAATTATTGGATTTTTTTTTGGAGAAAATGAGTTTTGTATTCTTATACCGGAAGTATGTGATACAATATGGCTGACTGAAATTACCAGGTGCTATTCTCGGATGACATCAAACTGTTATAAGTTCAAAGGTATATTATGCCTATGATATGAACATTTTTGTTCTCTTGTATAAACATTTAATTTATAATGTTGTAACAATAGATTAAGAACATGTAAGACTCTTAACATCTGATGAAAATAACGTTGAATGTGAAGTAAGATAGGATGCAAAAAGTAAACGTAAACTGAAAGTAAAGTGGTATTTTGCTCCCATACAAAATACTGAATCACCATAAGTGTACTAATTTCCGAAATGCAAAAGAAGCAAAGGGATAATTGCCAATGCGTAAACTTTTGACAAGTGAAATAGGACAATAGGAATATATAAAAGGAATATTAAAAGCTTTCGAAGAATAAAAATAACAGCGTTTTCAGGCTAAATTGGCCTCAAGTAAAGAAAGGCTCTTAAATTTGATTTCTTCAAAATAATGACATCACAGTGGAATGCTTTACAAAAACGATCTTCAATAGGAAACATAAAAAACGGTTGCAAGAGGACAAGTTACCATGACAACTTACGAGCAGATCACTGTTGTGTTCTCAGTGCTAGTTGCATAGGAACTTTCAAGTGACGTCTGGAACGTACTTATAGCGTTCAAGGCGTCCTGGTTCACAACTGAGTAACCACAAGTTAAAGCGTCCGTGACCTCTGTAAAATATTCAAACACATACAAAATTAACATAATTAATAGATGCACAAGTTTACTTTTTTGTGTTCATTAATAAATATCCCTTCATCGAATAAAAGTTCTAATACAACGATCAAAAAATATTTTGCAGTTTATATGTTCGTAGCTATAATACAACTGTAGCTGGTCAGTGCATGCAAACTCAACTAAGAATATTATAATAAATAGTATATAAAATAATTACCAGACTCGATCTGGTCACACAGTCCTAGATATGCGGCCGTCAATGCGTCACCGTTACCAATATGAACAGTATGATCATGCGACATACATGGTTCCGCTACAAGTTCCATACAGTACGTTAGGCACGTAGTGTTACTGAAAATATAATTAAGAAATAAAAATATAAACGTATATATGAAATATATATAAGCGGAATCCCTAAAATAGAGAAAATAAGAATCCCTAAAGAAAGCCCAAAACGACAAACTTTAAAATGTTGCAGGCTCGGTTTGATTAAGCCAGTTCACAGAAATAAAAACGAAAATTCACGGCACTAAAAATTGCAAGTTACCGTTCACGCTCCCTAGCACCGGTTTTAAGCAGAATTCAACATCTAAGATTGATAACTTTGAAATTTTTAATTAAGAAACATCCGCTAACTATTAGAAAAGACAGAACTGTACAACCCACCGCACATGCTGAAACTTCACAAAAATATAAAGCATTGTTTCCAATGTAAAATGCACAGCAGGCGTATGGCGTGTTGATTGGTCACTACACCCCCACCCATCCTCTCTACCCACTCTACAACCCTCTTACCGCTCCAAAGCCATGTAAACTGCAGTATTTTTTTCATTTGAAATATGCTATTTGATATTTGCTTTAATTTTGTTCATTTAAAAAAAACATCCAAAAAAAGAAGAAAAAAAAGATATTCGTGTACTTATTTTTACTATAATATTATGTATAATATGTATCGTTTTTAATTATTTTTGCAGTAAAATAACGCATACTTACAAACAAAGATTCCTGTAGTTGTCAGCCGAGACAATTGGGAACATGTAGTACGACAACATTTGATTGTTCATTAAACATTGGTCAAGGTCATCTTTCACAGACTCTGGTGTACACGCACTGTTTACGCATGTGCAAAAACAAAGAACTGAAAATAAATTCAAATGATATACGAACATATATAATTATAAGGTCAAGTATCCAATATATGACAGAGGTCAAAAAGCATAAAAAGATAAAATTAGAAAAATTTCTATAGATCAAAGGAACAACTTTTAATGGAAATTCTGCAAAAAGTCATAAGGAAAAATACTCTGAATTGAATTGAATATCGATTTTTTTGTGCGATTCTTAGTCTGACTTGAGCAAAAAGTGTTGCAACGCTTTTCATATTTTGTGATCGATTTGCACAATTAAATCATTATAAATATTTGGTGTCCTGCAATAGTTTCCAAAATGATACTAATTGGCCACTGGCCCGTTACCGGAACCATCGTTGGTGTCAATGACATTTTGGCAATTAGTACAGCTAAAGTGTTTTATTATTTTGTATGGAAGTCAAAATACTACTTTGTTTACATTCTGCTACTTTTATGACAAATAATTTCACATTCAGCGTTACATATTCTTCATGTTATAAGCATCTTACATACATGAAATTAAAATTGATGATTTATGAGAAATAAAACAGAATAAAAAGAAATAAATATATAACATACCTGTATAAACCGTGTATAATAGAGTGTTTGACATTGGTATTTTGATTCCAAATGTTTGTTTTTTGTTGTTGTTGTTGTTGTTGTTGTTGTTGTTGTTGTTTTTAATTTAACATTAAATGTTCAACGTGCTATATAGCTAGTTGATTATTTTATCAACATTATCACCATTCCTTCAAAAAGTATTTACAATTTAAATTTCTTGTATTAATTTCATAAAGACGATAAAACAGTCTTTTAACACGTATTTTATTTCAAACTTTACAACTATGTTGAAATTTTATTTTCAGCAAATAAAAAATAAAGCGTTACATTTATTATAAACTGAATATTAAAAACAAACTCCAAATTTTACACTAAAAATTACATGATTAAATCATTAATTTTACTAGCTAATTGATTAAGTTCGTTAATTAATCCTAAAAGCAATGTTAATGTTTATCATAGACACGTGATGTATTTTGAGACAAAATGAATGACGTCGTTCGAGCGAAGAATTTATCTTTTGTTATCTGTCAGTAACTCTTTTGTTTCAAAACGTATAATTATAGTCTTAAACTAATAGATTAGTGAAAGCGTGTCGAATTTCTGCTGAATTGTTCTATATAGATAAATGTGTACATTGTATATTATTGTGGCGTGTGCATTTATATGGGCAATTATGTATATATATATATAATATATATATAATCATAGAACCCGGCCCAATGGCCTGAAAGTCACCAATTTAATGATTTCATAATGCATCGTATAACACATAGAATGTGGTGTTAATGGTATAAACAACTATCAAGTGAGGTGGTTCTAATTAATGCGAAAAACAATGTCTATAAAAGGCTACAAATGTTTAACGCTCTACAAAGCTTGATAACTATACTATATATTTAACTTTGGTAGCATAATCGCAACAATAATATTATTATCATAAAAATGCACTTTTAACAAATAAAACCGTATTTCAGATCAAATTAATTAAATTTTAAATATGATTTATTTATATAATAGATAAATACAGAAACCCCAAGAAAGCCCAACAGACAAAAAATTAAAATTTGCAGGCTCGGTTTATTACCCGTTTAGGACGGGACTGGAAATGCAAGTTACCGTCCACCCCTAGCACCGCTTAAGCAGAAATTTAAAAATTTTAAAAAGAAAGTAAAATTTTTAATTTAAAACATGTCACAAAAGTTCGTCCCAGGAACCTTATTGATAAAATACCCCTAGTATTTTTCGGGAAAAAAAAATGTAAAATTTCACCAGCAACAAAAATATAAAAGCGCCCCACTACCCCCTCCACTCTTCCCCGTTGGGGGTGATGGGTAGCTAAAATAAAAGGGAATTTACACATATCCTCAAATCTTTTTTTTATTTCAATAACAGGGCAATGATGACCCTAAATCACACACCATTGTTGGGAAAAGGTCACAATTCTTTATAAACTTAGGTAATTGGGTGTATCAGTTTTGTCATAACATATATAATTTGTGAAATATTGTAATGATGCTTTAAAACAACAGCCTAATATCCAGTTCCTCAGAATTGTTTCTCATAAGAGGACTTAAACAATTATTAATATTCATATATGAGTCCATATAAACTTAGTGATCCCTGGTGCACCATCTTGCGTACTATAAGGTTATGATGATATATAATTAATTCGGTTACTGTAGTTTTAGAGAATACAAATGTATTACATAAGTCTGTGTAAAATAAATGATACCCATTTCATAGCCATTTTAATTGCAGGACATCATACAATTTTATGCATTTAGTTTAACACTAAAAGTTCTCTTATTGTATTTTTTCTACACAAGTATATATAAACCCGGGTGGCTAAATAAGCAAGATTCATTCAATATGTTAAAGACACAAGATGATGGTACATGCTTAGTATCTATGCTCTATGCTCTGTGCATTCTGCTTAATGAGAAGACTTTTTAAACATTTTTGCTATGTACACTAAGTGATGAGACTTTAAAGAGGTCTTCTCTACTTGACAATGTTATACCGGTATGTTGAATATCTAAGTTATATGCATTGAAGGTATCCAAAAGAGGCCTATATAAGTCTTGCAAAACTAAGTGCCGCTCATGGCAGGCCCCTTATTCATGCTCTTGCAGTCTAAAATTGTTTTCCCTGGAATGTTTCTAATGTTTGCATAGACTTAAAACTGTATTGAAAATCTTCTCCAAAACTAAATTTCCAAGAGCCGAAAAATTATCATGAAAAATCACTCTTTGATACTCAATAAAAATAATGAATTATTGGCATAGGACCAAATCACTTAATTTATATGGACTCATACAGAAATATAACTATATGAGTCTTCTTGTGCGAAATAGTTCCTATGAGTACCTAGATATTGGGCATGTTTCCTTTGAAGCGAACCTTCACAAATTGTTCATAAATCATAGCAGTATGTGTTGAAAAAAAAAGTGTTACTCCTAACATGATCTTATCTTACTTCTGTATTAAAGAGTTATTGCAATTTTCCATCCTGCAGTGGATCTTAGGTGAGTGGTCAATGATTGTTTAATGGGAACATGAAATTTGAATAATCTTTGACAGTTAGTTAATATTTCAAATCATCAGCAAATATATATATGGGTCAAGCGATACTATTGATATACTTGTTTCACTACACATAGATGATGTGTTGTATCAGTCGCCTTAATTTTACTGTGTGTATCTTTTGAAAATACCATGTCTAGATATGTTATTCTATAAATAGTGCTAATTCAATCATCCTAAATTACAATGACATGAAAGTAGATACATTGTTTAACTTTGAATCGTACTGTATTAAGCCTTCAGTAAGATTATGATATCTAATACAGAATTCATTGTTTCTCATTGTGTTGGTTTTAAAGCGATTTTTATCTTTTCATAAAGAAATTGTGAAGGAATTAATTGTATTCGTAAATAAGACAATATTTAACGCATGTTTTGTTAATGTATATTCTGTCTACTATCGTTAAAATTAACTGATAATATTAAGAATACTGAAACAAGTTATACCTTGCAAACAAATTTTACAACTGACTGTATACACATGAATGTATGTGCATTTTAGCACACCCTCTAGACCTGAATGAAGACCAAAATTCCTTACAAAAACAAAAGTTTTTAACAGTGAATATTGTCCTAAGAATTCATAGAAAGTTTAACAAAAATCAAAGAAATAAAATTAACTTACAAACTTTGTTGTTTTTGTTTTACAATTATCAGATAAATTTTCCTCACCCACTTTGACAAAATATAAAACCTACAGACTTTATGTTTACAATAAACGCACAGTGTTAATTAAATATCAAATGCACTATAAGAAACTAAGTAACTTTTTGAATTTTGTATAAAGACCTATTGGAATGCCATATTAGAGAAATATGCAAATATTGGCACTTTTTCTTTATTATTTTTAAAGATGCTTTTTGGATAAATAACTTAAAAAGCTTGACTTACATTGTGATTTACATATAATTTGATTATTTTTGATATGTTTATACACTTTTTATCGAAATATGCATAATTTGTGATCCAAATTATATGACAAAAGTGATATATCAGTTTTGCATAAAATCGGCGGCCATATAAAATCTACGTTAAAGTTATGGGCCTTTGACAATGAGCTTCTATTATGCTCATAAATAAGTCCGTTTTCCCTTTTGTTAGTTTTGAAGATACCAATTTCAAAAAACTTAAACAGCGTGTGACGCCGGGGTGAGTACAAAAATTTTCCATATTTTTCAGATAGTAGAGCTAAAAATACGAAAGTAGGAACTGATGCTAGGACATTACATTAAATGCCAGAATTATAAATTAAAGTAAAATCTTTGTAACGGGCAAAATTATTTATTCGCTGTAAGAAACGCGCATATTTCAAGAAACAAAATCAAAGTAATATTTTTAACTATTTGTACATTCGCCACGCTTGTTGTTAATGTAAAACACAATGTCCGGGTTTTTTTATATTTGTAATAACTGTTACATTATGAACATTTTAGCATATAAAATTATTGTCAGATACAACAGTATAAAGTATATATTAGGAAATAGTAGTCCACTTCCAGAACACCTGTTGTTTGTTGTTTGTCTATAGGATGTGTACCTAAACGATAAAAATATATGAAGTCAGTTAGCTTTATAAATATATTCCACAGTTTCGTGTATTTTCCAAGAGTGTTCAGGTAAATGACAAATTTTGATTTTCAAAATACAAAAGAATATTTTAAACATATACTAGTACGTGTGACTTTATTTCTGCCTTTTCTTATCTATGAACATACATCAATACATCACTTGATTTGACCTCGTTGTTACAAAAGTTATCTCCGAGCTCGGTCTAAAATTTCAGAATTTTCATTGGTCAGTGAAAATTCTCTGTGGCTTTTTGACTAATCAAGTACTTGAGTTTTGAGTTTGAGTTAGAAAATTTCTTTAAAACCTTGGACACTGGTCATTGCATTATATTTATTAATTTTTAATGGATGAACATTGGAGAAGCGGGTAAGAATTATGACTTATTTCATAGTGTACAACAGAATCTGCTTACATGATATAAATAATGGCGGAGTCAAATCAGAGCACTGAGGTCGAACGCACAAATAATTATACTTCAAAATTATCCGCTAGCAGTGATACTCGTTCTAGTGACATTAAATATCATAAACGTACCATGTTTCTGTTTGATTATCGTCACACTTGTGAAAGACTGTATTTAAAAATTTGTCCCAGTGTTCTTCAGACTTCCCTGAACACGCTGCAGTTATCAAAGTGTCTAATGTCCCTTTAAGGGTCAACCATTCCCTGTGAATTAAATAGCATGCATATTAATTATTTTTTCTTTCTTTCTTTCTTTTTTTCTGTTTGTTTATTTGTTTTTTTTTTTATTGTTGTTTATTTTGTTACAGTTACAATCCACGCAAATTACAAAAAGGTCTATTTCAAAATACATGTAGTCCTAACTGCGTTAGTCACGCTGTAGAAATATGGAGAAAAAATACTGCAAAAACAGTCAATAATCGCACGTAACATGTAAATTATTACTTGAATCTTTTTATTCTCCTGAAAACCTTAGTACATTTTCTCAAGTTTGATTTTGTTGAAATAGCCTGCTCATCTAGAGGCATGCAGCTTTAATATATATAACATTATTAACATATCTATTTACATGTATATATACGCGTATAGCAATGTGATATATTATACAATACAATAACTTTATAGCATCAAACATATTACAATGCTTATATAGCACATACAACTATATAAAGTGGCAAATGAAATCACATCCAAAAAGAGAAAGAAGCATACAAAATCGTTCAACAATTACAATTTTGTGTCAGATATTTTTTTTCTTCAATTACTACACATGAAGTAATTGAAGGTAAGAAAATTATAAGATTTGTTGCTTTTTTTTTTAGAAAAAGAGATTTTTATTCTTATATCGGACAAATTTGATACAATATGGCTGACTAAAATTATCAGGTTGTATTTTCGGATGACATCAAACTGTTTTAAGTTTAAAGGTACATTATGCCTATGAAATAAATATTTTTGTTCTCCTGTATAAACATTTAATTCATAATGTTGTAACAATAGATTTAGAACATGTGAGACGCTAAACAGCTGATGAAAATAACGTTGAATGTGTAAAGTAAGATAGGCTCACCGCATTGTCGCAAAAAGTAAAAGTAACCCATACAAAATACTAAAATACCATAAGTGTACTAATTTCCGAAATGCAAAAGAAGCAAAGGAAGGATAGGGATAATTGCCAATGAGTAACTTTTTAACAACTGTATTACGACATCGAAAATGAGATACTTTTGAAAAGTAAAAACAACAGCGTTTTTCGGGCTTTATTTGCGTCGACTACAGCGGATGTCCTAAATTTGATTTATTCAAAATAATGACATCACAGTGGGATACGTGACAAAAACGATCTTCATTAGAAAACACAAAAACTGTTGCAAGAGAACAAGTTAGATACAATGACAACTTACGAGCAGATTACTGTTGTATTCTCAGTGCTAGCCGCATAGGATTTTTCAAGTGAAGTCTGGAACGTTCTTATTGCGGTCCAGACGTCCTGGTCCGAAACCGTACTACCACAAGTTAAAGCGTCCGTGACCTCTGTAAAATATTCATACACATACAAAATTATTACAATAATTAATAAACAGACAAGTTTATCTTTTGTCCATAAACAAATATTCTTTCATCGAAAAAAAGTTCTAATACAAAGATCATAAATAGCTCACGTAGCAAATACAACTATCAAAATAGCTCGCAGTTTAGACGTTCGTAGCTAATACAACTATCAAAATAGTTCGCAGATTAAACGTTTGTAGCTAATACAACGATCAAAAAACGATACAACGATCAAAAATAGCTCGAAGATTAGACGTCCGTAGCTATAAAGCAACTGTACTTGGTTTGTACTTGCAAACGCGACGAAGCCTAAGTTGCCGCCTCCAACATTTACTATAGTACCCTTCAGCCAGATATCCCGGCATGCACCGGCAGTTGGTGTAAGATTGTTGTAGCATTTTACATGTTTTATCATATAATGCTTAACTAGAATCTAGTATATGTTAGTTATAAACAATTTTTTAAAGGTTATATGGCTCTATATAAGCGGTTGTTTGTATATACATGTATAACCAGAGCCGCTATGTATAAGGTCATATAACTTGTCAAGAATCTTTAAAACGAATTTATATAACTATGATAATACAGCAAAAATTAATTCATTTGAGCTGGGACAAAAACATATAGCATATTTTTATTCCAGATTTGAGATAAAAAGGAAAAAAATGACAACAGTCGTGTATATAGGTTATATAAGCGTCACGGTTATCCAATGAAAAGCGACGTTACAAACGTTCAGTATTATAAACTTAGAATATTATAATAAATTATTGTAAATAAAATAATAAGAATCTACCAGACTCGATCTGGTCACACAGTCCTAGATACGCGGCCGTCAATGCGTCACCGTTACCAATGTGAATAGTGTGATCATGTGACATACATGGTTCCGCTACAAGTTCCATACAATACGTTAGGCACGTAGTGTTACTGAAAATATTTGAGAAATAAAAATATTGACGTACATGTAAATATAAAAATAGAGAAAAACTGAATCCTGAGAGAACGCCCAAAACGAGAAACCTGAAAATGTTGCAGGCTTGGTTTGATTGAGCCTTCTCCTGGATGGCACGGGAAATTGTAAGTTACCGCCCACGCCCCCTAGCACCAGTTTAATCAGAATTCAACATTTAAGATTGAAAACGGTGCAATTTTAAATTTATAAACATCCGCTTACAAGTAAAAAAGAAAAGACATAACATTTAATCAACGATTGCTGTTTCTTTGTTGTTGTTGTTGTTGCTTTTTGTTATTGTTGTTGTTTTTTGTTTTGTTGTCTTTTTGTTTTTGCTTCAAAGCTAATTAGAACATATTTGTTTTAGCACAACTGTGATGGAGGCTTAAGTCACTCTCGAGTTCACTTCTTCTTTTGGACTAACTATGGTACCTTATAAGGCCAGCAGAGCTCGAATCATGATCCTTAAATAGAATAGAATACAAGAAGGTGCTTCGTGGTGCTGTATAACCTACCCGCACATACTGAAACTTAACAAAAAATATAAAGCATAGTTTCCAATGTAAAACGCGCAGCAGGTGTTAGGGGTGTTGATTGGTCACTACACACCCTCCCTCGCCCCTTACCCACTCTACAACCTTCAACCACTCCCAAACCGTGTAAACATCAATATTTTTCATTTGAAATACTTTTTAACATTTGATATATGCTGTAATTCAATTTCCAACATTTCCCACAAAAAAGGAAAGAAAACCAACAACAACAACAACAACAACAAAAACGATACATATTATTTTAGTATCATATTATGCATAAGAATCTTTTTGTTATTATTATTATTATTATTATTATGCCTATTATTATCATTTTTATTAGTAAAATAACGCACACTTACAAACAAAGATTCCTGTAGTCTGTAGCGTTGACAATTGGGAACATGTAGTCCGCTAACAATCGATTGTACCTTAAACATCGGTCAAGGTCATCTTTCACAGACTCTGGTGTACATGCACTCTTTGCGCATGTGCAAAGACAAAGAACTGAAAATAGATTCAAATGATATATGAACATATGATTATTAAACACAGTGTCAAGTGTCCAATATATGAAATACAAAATATTCTTGAGGAGTTCCACTAGCTGAGGTTAAAAAGCATAAACAGATAAAATAAGAAAAATTTCTATAGATCAAAGGAACCATTTTTAATGGAAAATTCTGCAAAAAAGTCATAAGGAAAAATACCCAGAATTAAATTGAATATCGATTTTTTGTGCGATTCTTAGTCTGTCTTGAGCAAAAACTGTTGCAACGCTTTTCATATATTGTGGTCGATTTGCACAATTAAATCATTATCCTGGGGGGGGGGGGGGGGGCATGGCGAGAGAATGAGCTGAAAATTGCTGGTGTACTGATATAGTTTCCAAAGTGATACTTATTGGCCAACAACCTGAATCATCTTTTCTATCTGTTGCACTTTTTGGCAATCATAGTACAGATATAATGATTTAGTATTTTGTATGGAAGTCAGAATACTATACTTTGTTAACATTCTGCTACTTTTATAACAAATATATTCACATTTATCTCAACTCTCTTCGGGTCATAAGCATCTAACATACAAGTACTTAAAACCATTATTAAAACGTTACGTTTGCTGTTTAAAAAATGTTTAAAAATGTATTTGTTCATGAGGCATAATGTGCCTTTAATAAAAAAGAAGAATCAGAAACGGTTGAAAAGATAACATACCTGTATATACCGTGCATAATAGAGTGTTTGACATCGGTGTTTTGATTCCTAGGTTGTTGTTGTTCTTGCTGCTGCTGCTGCTGCTGCTGCTATTGTTGTTTTTGTTGTTTTTGTTTATTTGAACATTAAATGTTCAACGTGCTTGTTAATTATTTTCTCAACTTAAACACCATTTCTTCAAGAAGAATCTTTATACACTTTTACAATTTAAATTCCTTGTATTCATTCTCCAAATTTTACACTAAATTTTACGTGATTACTTCATTTATTTCGTTATTTATTTTGAGACAAAATGAATGGCGTCGTCGGAGCGAATAATTTATCTTTTGTTTTCTGTCAGTTATTCTTTTGTTTAAGAACGTGTAATTATAGTCTTAATAAATAGAATAGTGAAAACATGTCGAATTTAAGATGAATTGTTCGAAGGAAAGTAAGGTAAGGTAAGGTAAGGTAAGGTAAGGTAAGGTAAGGTAAGGTAAGTTAAGGTAAGGCAAGGTAAGGTAATTTAAGGCAAGGTAAGGTAAGGTAAGGTAAGGTAAGGTAAGGCAAATCAAAGCAAAGTGAAGTGAAGTAAAATAAAAATAAAGTAATTTAAGTAAAGTAAAGTAAAAGTAAGTGTAAAGTAAAGTAAGTAAGTAAATTGTTATAGTGACATGTACATATGCAATCATATACATGTACAATTATAGCAACCGACCCAAATGGGCCTATAAGTCACAAATTTAATGTTTTCATGATGCATCACATAAAAACATAGGATGAAGTATTCATGGTATAAACAAATATAAAGTGAGGTGGTTCTAATTAATGCGAAAACAATATTAACCAAAGGGTACAAACGTTCAAAACGCTAGAGTTTGATAAAGATACTATCTGTTAATTTAACATTGGTAGCATTATGACAAAAATAATGTTATTCTATTAAAAACACACCTTAAATAATTTTAATAGTGCTTGAGATCAAATAATTAAAATATGATTTATTCATACAGTCGGACAAACGTTCGTCAACACATGCGCAGCGAATCGTTGCATGTGATCAAATATACCCGCTATTTTGGCGCCAAAACAAAACCACTATATTAGATAGGCAGTTTAAAAATAAACACGTGCCACACGTCTCCTGGCATCTTTATACATATCCTCAATCTTCTGTGTTTGCTGTGGGTTTTTTATAATTATAATTGTTGATATTTTATGTTTTGAGTTTTGATATAATTTTCAACAACATTTTTTTATTCCTTTCGATTGAGGGAATGATTTGCTTATTGTTACGCTTTTTTTAGACCTTCCAGAAAAGTCCTGCCGTGTGTAACAATTTAGTGGTAAAATTTCCAATGAATTCTCCGGTCAGTGCAAGAATGTAAAATTCTTTGTAAGACTTTATCGTCTGCGTTCCGTGGAAGCCCGGTGGACGTAACTTGTTAATCATTACTCTTAAAGATTTGTACAATCTGTCATTTCAGTGCCCTGCTATTTTGTTGTAATGATGTTCGACTCATATATGGCTCAGAGTTCCTGAATATCTCGAACTTTTATGTTTGAGTTGACCAAACATTCAAACTTCATAAGGTCCTCTTCAAGGGTGGGTCAATGAAGTCATTGTAAGCTGGTAAAGGCGTCTTTCTAGCTGCAAGTTACCCTGTCGTATCACCTACAAACAATGTTTTTGAAATATATTTGATTGTTCTTAAGCAGTGTTGTGAACAAGGCGAGGCCTATGACAAACATACGTTTTATCTAACAAAGCTTTTCATGTTCCTTTAAGCAAGTTTCAAGTTTTTATTGACACCACAGACTTAAAATGTCAATTAAAGTCCATTCTCATCTTGATCCCTTAAGGGCAAACTGAGCATGTGAGAAAACATATGAGAAAACAACAATATATATAACAAAACATTACAGAACATAGTAAATCAAGTGACGTGTAGTAAAATGAAACCATGGCAATGATGTGAATATATGTTGAAACTTATAATAAAAATGAAATATAAAAAGGGAAAAAAGATAATAAAGATAATAGTGAGTTTGAAAGCGTACTGTATTTGTTTCTTCATAAACTTCTTTTTTTTCTGAAGAAAACTAGATCTAATTGTCGAAAGAATAAATTAGAAAAAAAAAACGTTTGTTTTTTATTGAACAGATTATTTAATATATATCCTACAAAATAATATCTTATCTACCTTCCCATCTCAATATTTTTAGCGTTTTTTATTAAATACAAGCCTAAAGAGACAAAGAGTACAAAGTAAAAGTAATTATACATGTATAGTATTGTTGTTGCACGGTATACAAACCGGTACGGTGATTGTACGGCATTGTACGGTCAATGGACGGAAGACAAGTCGCGCATGCGTCATACCGAAACAGGAAGTATTTTTGAGTCAGAAAATAGACGATATTTAATTGGAGAAAATATCAATTTATTTTAAAATAGTAACTTCAGTTGTAAATATTTAGGTAGGCTGGTGCAACACAAAGATTATTACGTTATTTTTGTGACCAATCAAAATGGAAATATGGTTGAAAGTCAACTTTATAACAACTTTATTGGCTGTGTTTACATCTAAATGGACAGGTAAACATATTTCTAAATTGAAAATTCGTGACTATTTCAAATGACACACCCTTTTAAACAAAGTCTTCGTCAAGTAATTAAATTTTGTTTCGTGATGATCATTCAATAGGCATGGATATTTATGTACAGATTTACACAAAGAACATATGAAACGCAGCATGAACAATGAATTATTAAAATGAATTTATAAAAAGGTTATATAATTTTTTAGTGCAGCCCTCGAATATTTACCAGGGAATTTGATAAAGCCAATATCTAAATACCGGAAACTGTCCAATCTAACTTTTTTTTGAATGTTTGATTCATATTTAAGGAATTAAACAAACAAACAAAATTAAGTCACTTAATTGCATAAACATGTATTATTTTACAAAGAGTTGATCAACACACTTTACACATCAAGACACTTCCCCCACCCCCTCAAAAATAAAAAAATAAATCAATAAGACTATTCATCCCACAATTTTTTTAAGACATTTAACTCAACACTTAAAATGAAAATGATCAAAGCTGATAGAAGGATGAGGAAGACAAGTAAAAAAAAAAGATCATTTATTTTGTTTACATTTTTCGATGTCAAAATGGCATTCGATATTTTATGCACTGCTTATTTTAGTTGATGGGAACCATAATAGTACAGAATAATGTTTTCATTTTCAATCAGAACACTGCAACTATTATTGCTAACTTGTTACGAATCCGGGTCAGCTTGGCCCTAAAACGTACTCGGACCCGAGTCAGCTCGGCCCTATTCCAACTCAGCACGGGTCAACTCGGCCCACATTTCAATAATCAATATTTAGGTTTGTGTTAACACTATTTATTGTAATTATTGTAATTATTTATAATACACGGACTGACAGTTTCAAACTAGCAGCAGACAAGCTTTTCTTATCAGTAGAATTGCGAGTAAAGATAAACGATTGCGTATCTCACTGTATTTCTACATATTTAACTTCTGTTCTGTTCTTTATTACTTTAACTAGATAATGCACAGACAAGGTCTTTCTATTTGATAGAAGAAAAAAACGTATGACATGTGCAAATGAATTTCGGCAGCAATCAATGCGCTTATACGGAAGATTTAATTAGAAGCTTATGATATTAAGTAAACACGTTTTTGTTTCATATTTTTTTAAATATTACTTTACAAACACATTTTATTAGAAACTAGATCTATATTGATTTTATCGAATCTGCAAGACAGATAAATAACATTTTTTTCTAAATATACTTTATTTCAGAAGAAGTACAATGTATAATTATATAATAATAAGATATTTCTTATTATTCATTTACCTTAACAACATGCAAAGCAAAGTTAAAACGTTATATATATTTTGTAAAGTGGGCCGAGTTGACTCTTTTCCACTTGTTACTAATAAATTACATGCCGTTTATTATTGCGTTACGGTGCCCAACCATGAACTGACACTGACAAAATCACTGATGGGATTAGAGATCTATATAAATTTACATGTATATATTAATTTTTTAAAATAATTTCCTTTTTAATATACACATGTAGCCTATAGCCTAAGCCGAGCATGTGTGGCTTTCAACATATGAACAGTAAACTATTAGGGTAGTACACTACATGTCAAATAAAGAACGAAGGAAGTGTGAAAAGGATTAAACTATCATATATTTTAATTTATATTTATTTATTCCAATCTCATCCATATGATATACATGTATACCAGTACAATAATAATGTACAACATGATATAAAAATGCATGTATTTAGCCATTCTATGTAAGAATTATAAAAGAATTATAAAAGAAATTAAACATCTAAAATGTAATAGCAAAAATAAAAAAAAGTATTAAGATTAAACATTACCAGTGTTCAACAAGAATAAACAACAGCTATTAAAATATTAAGATGTCATAGTGGTAGCCTTTCTTTAGAAAATAAAAACAAAATTTTTGTTTTATGATAAAATAAAAAAAATTATATTAATACAATCAATATTTTAATCACCATCAGTACGTCTAACATATGTCACATTCAATTATATATGTAAAACACAAAATCTAAAATAGGGGGTGAAGTGTCTCAATCAGATTTCATAAATTACAAGGTGTAAAAAGAGGGGTGAAGTGTGACTTTTGGCAAAAAATGGCTTTGGGTGAAGTGTCTGAGGGGTACATCTACATATATAAGAAATAAAAGCATATTTGTGATTAAAATAAAAGTCATACCTCCTCAGTTATATATGAAATTTAATGTTGTTGTTTAATAAGACCGTCAGTTAATTAAATTAAAAAAAAATCATTGTGTCAAAATGATTTAGACTTCAACATTTGGGTCTATTTAAAGACTTTGTACGTATTGTTTTACTGCAGTTGTGGGTACAGGTAACTGTGATTATTTCAAGTTATTAGTGCTTATTTCATTTGAAATTTACTTAAACTACATGTATAATGTTAAGATTATTTCTTCTTTTCAATGGATTTTATGTTACTGGGTAGCAGTCTATTTGTTTAATTTTGGCATTGAAATCATAACTCAAATGGACCAGCAAGAGCATTGTGATGTCATTATATTTATATGTACATTGTACAATTGATTGTATTATTGTATTATTTGTGAACAAAACTTTATGATTTTACATAGAAATGAAGTAATCCTCACTGATAATACTTATTAGATATGTTTGATTTATTTGTAAATATTGATAAATCTCCCATTGTCAGATAAAAAAAGAGATAAACCCCTTTCTTCACCTTACAGTATGTGTATAGTAATAATTTTAAATTGTGTGCATGTTTTAAAGCTAAACTTGTACATGTATATGCCCATTAAACAGGGAAATTGTTAAGATCCAAACTTAGTAAAAGATTAAAAAAAAAATTGTGTAGAATTATTATAAAGAATCTCACCAGTCCATGTGATACAGAACTAAAATTTTAGAGATGCATAAATTTGAAATTTATTAGCCTTTGCTAGCACTAACAGTACAATTGAGCCTGGTCAGACTGAAATTATTAGCCTTTTATGGCAAAGCTGTCAGATTGATTTGGAGATTAAGGCACAGCGGGAGCGCAATGCTTAAAGCGCCTGGAAAAAGGCCTGGTATAGAGTCTAGTCACTGTCAGGCTGCTGGGAAGTGAAATTGATGTCTTCGCCAGTAGTATAGAGCCTTGTTGAAACTATTATTTTCTAATTGCTTTAGGACATTTTTTTCAAACTATAAAAGTTTTTGTTGGTAATGTGATACATATTATAATGATAAAATCTGGAAGGTAAGTGTTCAAAATCAGTGTATGATCATTGAGATATAATGGTGTAATGGTCTAATAGATACAGATATGCTTGAGGTGTTGTGTGTGTTTTTTTACCATTATAAAAATGCGATATTTGAGCAATTTTATTACATAATCATTACCCGAAATAAATTCATGTATTTAACATCTCAGTTTATAATGAAGACTATTTATTTATTCACAAAGTCATTACTAATACTATCAAACCCAACTGGCAAGGATCACAATAAGCAACAGTGGCTGGCAAAGTCAAAATTTACAACTGTAAATTTACAACTGAACATAATCATGATTTAATAAATGATGATTCATATGTTAAATAACAAAGATTCACCACTGTTTTTATGTGTTTCTATGTAATTTGAGTTCATTAAAGGGACTCCACTCAGAGGTTTTTGACATAATGGGACTGAAAATATTTTTTCAAGATAAATGTACCATTTGATGTAGGTTTTGATGCAAAATTTCAGATCATTCGCGCACTTCGTTTTTTTCAAATTGTAAAAGAAATGACCCAAAATAAAAAGCGTTTAAACACTTTTCACTCAAATCGGGCTAAGAAAAGCATAAAAATACGATTTTCAATTTATTTCAAAGTATATTTCTTAACTGTCTTTGCATATATTTCTGTTTAAAGTGTCCCAGCTCATTCATGTAAGAAATTCAAACGTTATGTTTTTAGGCTTTTTAACCTCACAGGGGAGTCCCTTTAAGATATGTTCTCTTCTGAGTAAATTTGAAGATCATTCAAGAGTATCAACATCTATAAATTTATATCTTACATTTGTTAACGTCCCTATTCAAAACATCAAACTTTGTTCATGATACATATAAAATATTGGATATAACGTGAATCCTTAGATAATAGGCCATTGTTTGTCATGTCTGATGTATAAATTGTCCACTTTTCACCTTTATATACAAAAATATAATTTTAGACATTACATCAAAAGTTAATATTGTATAGAGATGACCTGACTGTAAATCTTTGACCATATGCAGGGGTAATAACTCTGCAGAATTTGTTACTGAAGAATCTTTATACAATATTAACTTTTGATGTAATGTCTAAAATTATATTTATCCAATAATTGTTTATGTTTAGTGGTTCACAAAAGTTTATTGTTATATAAATGTAGAAGTTATTTATTTGTTTATCATATCCTGTAAAAAGTTATTGTTGATGATTCAACAAGTGTGTGTTTATTATTCCACTTAAGTATATACAATAAATTACCTTTAACTTTTTTTTTTTGAGACTTACATGTATATATTTTACTCACATATATGAATCTGTTTTCATATGGATGAATTTTTATTCAGTTCATATAGAAACTGAATATTTCTGAGCAAAATTAACTATATAAACAATTTTGAACAAATTCTGCTATATTGTTTATACATTTTTTTCAGAACACATTTTTGCTACAGAAATAATATTATGCTATTAATTCTGAACAAATTTAAAATTTGTATTGTGATCAAAATATTTCTGAACAAAACTTTGTTTTAAAAAGTCAAAAAGGGTCTACTTTATGAATATTTCTGGACAAAAAGGCTGCTCCATAATTTATGCAGTCTACATGTACATGTATATTTGTTTTATATATTGTTTTTTTTTGCCATTTAAAAAAACAACCACAAAATTTTCATTAAAAATTTTACTGAAAGCATCCTTTAATACTTAAAGATTTTAAAAGCATTATTTGAATATGGTGATTGGTGGAAGGCAGTAATTGGTGTGATGATTGTTTACAATGAAGCTGTTACATACATGTACTATAAGTTACAATGAAGCTGTTACATACATGTACTATAAGTTACAATGAAGCTGTTACAATTTTACTATAAAGTTTCATTACAGTTGACTGACAGTAAACTAATACCTATACAAACATACAATGTACAAATGTACTAAAAGGTCAAAATAAGGTCAAACAAGATTTTGTCACTGTTTGGACATTCATTCTATGTTAACATTATTAACCCCCATACTGTATTCTCAGCTTTTTATAATAATTGAGCCGCATCATGACAAAACCAACATAATGGGTTTGCGACCAGCATGGATTCAGACCAGCCTGCACATCTCCCAAGTCTGATCAGGATCCATGCTGTTCTCAACTTGTAATAGAGTTTAAAGTAAGCAAACAGCATGGATCCTGATCAGACTGCGCGGATGTCTGGATCCATCACTATGTTGGTTTTGTCATAACGCGGCCCATATGTACACATTGTAAATTATAGTGCAGTACTCACAGTTAAATATTTTTTATTTTGCATTTAATTATAAGTGTTATTAAAAATTGGTCTATAACTCAATTTTACCTTAATTGGTCTGTAACTCAATTTTACCTTACTTGGTCTGTAACTCAATTTTACCTTAATTGGTCTGTAACTCAATTTTACCTTAATTGGTCTGTAACTCAATTTTACCTTAATTGGTCTGTAACTCAATTTTACCTTAATTGGTCTGTAACTCAATTTTACCTTAATTCGCCTATAACTCATTTAATTTTACCTTAATTGGTATATCTTACTCAATTTTACCTATAATTGTCCACTCAGGTATCTGCTTTAATGAGGAACAAGCATTGGGGAAAACAGCTCTTTAAGAATTCCTTTACAAAGATTTGTTAATTTTGCTCTACATTTTATGTTAAAGCTCTTAAAAACATACACATTTGAACAAAGCATAAGGTTTAGTTGGTAGGTTTGATTGAATTAACAACTAAGCTTTTAATTTGTATCATATTTGTGAGCACAGGCAGTAGATTAGTTTACAGTTAGTCAAGAAATTTAATTAGTTAGCCCGTCTGTTATTGTATTAAAATTTTGTGCATGTTGTTTTTGTTGTACATGTCGGACAGAAGAACACAGACTGGTTTTTGTTGTCACTATATTGTCTCTTATAGAATCAATAACCAGTCCAACAACAATGTGGTCATGGGATAACTGGATTACCAAGTTTTAGATTATGTTCATCTGTTAATTCTGCAACAATTATTGTCCCAGTTATTGTCCTTGTGTGAAATTCTGATAGAGCTGTTGTAAGGAAACTGATTCGAATTAAAGTGGATTGGTCTGGTTAGTGAGCACATTATAAAGTGGATTGGTCTACCATACATGTTTATCAGGGCACATTTTCAGAAGTATTTCAAATATTTGACGAAAACAATAACAATGTTTATTTTGAATATCATTGTAAAATATTTCTTGACGAAAAAAGTCTATAAGTGATTTAGAACAAACATTTGATTAAACATATTTTATAAGTGCTAATAACAGCAAAAGTAACCTGCACCGTCCAGGAATGGAACCTGGATTGACCATCCAATGCTCTACCGAATCATGGTGCCTGTAATAAATGCTTAATTAAAAGCTTAAAAGTGGCATATTGCACCTGTATACATGTATTATAACCACTTTGAAACTTAAAAAGAATGTCAAGCTACCAACTTTTTGTAGATTAGAGACCTGAGAAATAGAACATTTTTTATTAAATAATTATATGAATTACAATGTAAAAGTCATAAATTATATAAAAACAACAACAACCTTTTTTACTACTATACATTTAAGTTGTTGTTTTAGAGGTAGGGTGTAATATATTTACCTTCAAGCAACATTAATGGTAACAGTCATCTACACAATTACATTACATTAGTAACTCGAGTCATGTGTTTATAATACAGTCATGTACATGTATATAGTTACATGTACATGTTGTACAACAGTTTAGTGATTTTAATTGACAGTTGTAATTATATAGCTGTCAATACACGAGTCATGACTAAATTGATATCTGAGAATACTGAAAGTATTTAATGATTAATCATGGCTGACATAAAAATATAACCACATTATCTGAAATTTTATAAATTATTTTCATCTTATATTTACAGGTAATTGTCATAACATATATATCGTCACATTGGTGCTATAACAGCTTAACTCCTATAAAATCATAAAAAGAGTTAACCCATTACTGTACTTATTGCCAGGCGACAATATAGAACTGACATTACATTTTATATGTACATGTATATAATTGTTACATAAAATTGAAAGGGATTTAAGAATGAAAGAAAACTTATACAATAATTATGAGTTCTTCTCCCTAGACAGATTACAGATGTTACTTAAGAAGCTTTTTTTCCCAATCTTGTCCCTTAAGATTTTTTAAGATTTGATCATATGTTAAAATGTCAGTTGTAACAGATGTTACATGTATTATATATGCTGATTGTTCATTGATTCTTGTTTATTACAGGTGAACTTTCACCAGTAATTCATCATAGGTACAGATGTTGTTCTTTAATATCAAGAACTTTGATTTTGTTAGTCAACAAAACAATGTTAAGAGTCATACATCTTCCTATAGAACTGTCAAACATGTTAATTAAAAAAAAATCACAACAAACTGTTACATAAGCTAATGAAAACAGATCTTTATAGTTGATATTTCATAAAGCATTTAAATGGTTTCAAACCTTGAAATCGAATATTTTATTTATCCTAGACTATACACGTTTTCAGTGTATTTTGTATTAAAAGACTGAAGCTTGCCTTTCCATTTCTTAGGCCAGCAGCTTAACCAAATACAAAAACAATTGAACATTGTTAAATGTAAGACATCATGACTGGACTGAAATTTTACAAGATTATATCAAATAAGACAAAGACATCATATATTCAGGGGCAGCAAAATCAATTATCCATAATTATTTTCCAGGTAGAAATGTCCCAAAGCTAATGTACAAAAAGTAAAATGAAGATTTCCTAGAATTTACTGTATAAGTATTGTATCATAGGGACAAGTTATATAAAGAAATTACTGCTTGAGATAAGACAGATTTGAAAGTCAAAATAAGATTGTATAACCTGTAAAGATCAATTTACAATGTAAGTTATACACCTGGGTAAATAAATGTAATAATATATCAAGTTTATATACCTGATATACCTGAATTGTTGTACGATAATGTCAGGGTGACATAAAAATCTTCCTGTTTGGGTAATGTTAAAATTATATATTATACTATGTCAAGTATAACAAATAATCTAAGGTCGGTGTATAGGTTAAAAGTAATATGACAAAATATTTTTTTCTGGTATCAAGAAGAATAGGTTGTTATGATAATATCATATATAATACAATGTCATGTATAAATGTTAAAAAAATGAGGGGGTTGTAGGTTAAAAGTTATAGGTAGGGTGTAGGTAATTAAAAACATAATAAACAATTTTTTTCTGGTATTTTTATGATTAAGAAGAATTGGTAAGCGAAAAAAATACCAATTTGAAACATTATAAAGGAGAAATACAGTAACTGTGTATTGAAGAATTTTACTTAATGTGGCTAAAAATTCAAAAACAAAATATTAAACTGTGAGTTAATTGTATCTCACACTATTAGTCTGGCCAACATTACTTCCTACACCAGTAGATCATTAAATTACTCAACCTGCACTGGTGTTGATGTGTTGTATTTCTTCATTTGTTTCATATTTTGAACATAATACTTCCTGTATAATTCTTTTGTTCTTTGTTGTTATGTCTGATACTAAATACTGCCAAAATAGTTATTTATTCATTATCACAGTATATAAAAAAAATCAACTGTACCCTGTCTTGTGAGCCTTATAATATAATTCAATGTGTACCCTGTCTTGCGAGTAAGAGCACATGTTCAAGCAGCTTCCGATCTCTGTACCCTACTTGGGACCCTATATATTTTAACTTGTGTCTTACTTGCGATATAAACAGGAAGTAGAATTGTTTATAATAGTGATATACTGATTGTTCATATTACAGATCTTTGTAATATAGACCAATGCAATTTAAATTCGACTTGTAATTAAATGTTGTTGTTATTGTTTATTTCAGAGAGTAAACAATTAGACGAGTATATACTGCACTATGAGGAATTGACATATAACACAGAACAACTACACAATAAACATATGCGGCATAAACGTTCACTTGATAACGCAGTGCATTTAAACTTAAATGCATTTGATAAGTAAGTTAGTCTTAAAATTTCTTAGTTTTTCATTGCCTTACTAACTAACACGTAGCTCAGTAGGGAGAGCATGACATAAACAATGTTACGCTAGGAGGTGTTGTTTTGATCCTGGAAGGCGTAATTTCTACGAGACATTTGATCTTAGACATTCTTGCATAGCAGACTGGCGTTTCCGTGAGTTTTACCCATGCCGGAAATTTCATCTGGCATGGGGGGTGCTAGATGTGTCGCGTGTCAAACAACAACGTCATTTTAGCATGCTTTATGAATGAACCGCGTTAAAATGACGTCGTTTTAGAAGGGCAATATGTGCTTAGGATGACATCATTTCGCGGTTGTTATTTAAGTTGTAAGTTCAAAAGTTGTTATTTAAGTTGTAAGTTCAAAAGCTATTGTAAAAAAAAAGTTATGGATAAAAATGACTTTAATTTCCATGATCATGTATCGTATTGATGTAAATCATTTTAAATATGAAATAATATGGCAGAATATGCAAGAAAAATATCTGACATATGTTTGCGGTTCGGATAGGAATATCCGTCCCTTGGGAACCCGCCCATGGGCAGGTCCCCTCGGGACGGATATTCCGGTCCGAACCGCAAACATATGTCAGATATTTTTATTATTAATGAACTTGATGGTCATTTGTCTCTCACTGCTGATGTAGAAATCATGTGGGATAAGTTGTCAATCACTTGGGGAGAAATAGGGTAATTCCTTTTAAGGTAATAACCAGATGGTGCCAGTCAATTTTAACCAGGTGGTGCCAGTCAATGTTGATTTTAATTGGACTATACTGGTAATAAGCAGTCACTTTTGGTTGATAGTGGTCAAAGCTCATTAAAATAGGTCAACACTGGGTTAGACAGTCACTATTGATTGATAGTGGTCAAAGCTCACCAATAGTGGTCAAAACTGGGTAAAAAAAGTCACAGTTAAAACTCATCAATAGTGGTCAACACTAGATATTTATATTTTTCTTGATGTATTTTGAATGAATACTTTGATGATAAGTGTATGTTAAGATTGGCTTTTTATCAAAGAAAGGGTATAACATTTCTTTGGTGATTAGGTTTATAATTTATAGCATGTATAATTCAACAAAATAGAGATAAGTAGATAATAAATATTCAAGGATAGAATGTGATAACACTTCATGTGAATTGTATCAATAAAAAGATTAGATTTTTACATCCTGGAGTTGTAGATCATTGGGAGAGCATTTTGTTATTTGTCTGTCAGTTTGTTTGTTTGTTTTATTCACAAAACTTAAACTTTGATGATAACGCAGAAGTCTTAAATCCAGCCCCACAGCCTTCAAACTTCATGTAAATTGATAAGGTTAACACACCAGACCAACTTAGAGGTCAGATGGTCAAAGGTCGCTATGGTTAAAGGTCAAGGTCACCAGGGTAAATGAAAAAGGCGTGGCATTAATTCGTATGTTACAAAGGTCTTTCCTTGCTTTGGTTTTTGCCATTTATATTTGAATTACTTGGATTGCTTAATTATTGAATGCTTTAAATCTTCTGAAAGGGGTGTCAGTGATAGAGCACTGGTAAAAAATGTTGACTTCAAGGTACTTGCTACTTATCTCATTGCTATCCTTTTATCAACCATTTAACATGTTGTAAAAGCATTATTTAATGTAACAAAACTCATGAATGCTCGAAGATCTAATTAACAAAATCATTTCTGCGGTCTTTATATAAAAGGTAAAAGTTTTTTGGAAAAATATCTGGCTAATATACATACTAGTAATTTTCTATTTTCTTATTTCAGAAACTTCAATTTACGTTTAAAGCATGATGCATCTGTGTTCACACCAGACTTTGTGCTCGAGTTCAACGGGACAAAACAAAGACCAGACTTGTCCTTCATTTACCAGGGAGAAGTTAAAGGTAAGTGTGATTTCTTGGTGATAAAAATGAATGACGATCAGTACTGTATGGTTCAGGTTGTGAAAAAGTACTCTAAGGTTCAGGGTGTGAATAAGTAATAGAAAGAAACCGAAACAAATGTTGTCAAATAGCCATTATATAATGTCAGTAAAACCAACCAAATAAATATTTGTTGTTGTTGTTTCATAGAAACTAATACATTAAAAGTCATCATTATAAAATCTGATATTACAGGTTTAAAGGCACATTATGCCTCTATTATAAATATTAAAGTTTTTCCTTCTTTTTAAATGGCAAACATGAATTTTATAAAATTTAAATAATTGTTTTACATACAGTACATGCTTCACAAGGAAGAATTGGACACACAAAATAAAATCACACTTTTGAGAAATTAAGATAAATGCTTATTTCGGACATAATGGGCCTTAAATAAAAATCAAGAATTTAAATGACAGTGACATGTATATGATTATTTATTATATACTTATAATTGAAATACTGAGAAATATTGATGAAATAAAATGCATATTTTTTCATTTATCATATTTTCACTGCAGTGTTGCATCTAGGATGCGTGATTGCGCGATTTGCGCATATTTTTTGCAGATCGCACATTTTAATGAAGTCAATGCGTGCCAAGTCGCGCATGTGACAATTTTTAACTTTATTCAGTTTATCTTCATCGTGTCCTGAAAGCTTCAGCCATGTTTGTTTTCACTCGTGGTAATGACTAAAATACGTACTAAAAAGGGTGTAGCAGCCGACTGGGTCATCTCACGTGTGTTTTGTAGTATTCGTCAATATTTTATTTTTTCTACTTCCGTTTTTGAGCGGACGATAGCTGTCGAAAATGCCTGAACATAAAATAAATGAATTCTTTTCGATAAGTCATAGTGTAAGGTAAATGTATGTCCCCCACATTTTTTTCAAATCCCCCACATTTTTCAGTTGAGTGGGGGACAATCCCCCATAATTTTGAAATTCTAGATGCAACACTGCACTGTAAAAAATTATTTTTCAAAGCAGTGAAATAAATTTATCCCTATTTTCACTGGTGTCCTTCCTAACTAGTTTAAACTAAATTCATATCAAATAAATAATTATATGGAAGTCTCTTTCCTCACTAATAACTGTAAGGTCCAATAAGAGTAAAAAGTATAAATATAATAAATAGAAAATTTAAGTTTTTTTTATAAATATACAGAATTTAATTTCATCTCTTGGCATGAAAATTATCATATTTCACTAAAATATACCATTACTAAAGTCTTAATAGAAAAAATTGAATATCCTTCTATGTGCCACTTGATGAAAATAAATCTTTACTTAAGTATTGTAGAGAAAAAAAACTTGAATATCTTCTATTTCTGTTAGTGAATAATTTATATTTACAGATAAACCGGGCAGTTCTGTGATGGGTGGGATTATTCAAGGTGTGTTCACTGGTTCCATTCATATACCCAGTGAGCAAGAGACATATCATGTAGAAAACAGTTACAGATTTTTCGATAAGAAGCCAGAGTTCCATTCTGTCATCTATAAAGAAAGTGATATGAACCTGGACCCATTCAGGTAATTTTTATGGCCCCTCCCCTCCCCCATACCACCCCCCCATACCACACCCCCCATACCACACCCCCCCATACCACACCCCATAATTTTGAACGTGTTCTTGTACAATAACACACAGTTCAAATTCAGATTCCTAGTAATATAATTATATGAATGATTAACTGTTTTCAAACTTGACACAAAAGGTTCAAATCAGGCGTGCCATCACACCTGATGGTCTGCTCTTTTTGCTATGAAATCAATACATTTACATTGTGTGTTTTTAGCTCGACTATTCGATAAGAATAACTAGAGCTATTGCAGTCACCCAAGCGTCGGCGTCCGCGTCGGCGTAACCACTTATGTTAAAGTTTTTGTAATAGTTCAAATATTTTCAAAGTCCATTGACATATGGCTTTGAAACTTTGCACACTTGTTCACCATCATGACCCCAACCTGTAGACAAGAGGAGGTAACTCTATCAAGCATTTTGACAGAATTATGCCCCTTTTTTAACTTAGAATTTACGTTAAAGTTTTTGTAATAGTTCAAATATTTTCAAAGTCCATAGACATATGGCTTTGAAACTTTGCACACTTGTTCAACATCATGACCCCAACCTGTAGACAGGAGTAGGTAACTGTATCAAGCATTTTTTTTACTATCAAGCACTAAGAATAGTCGAGCGTTGCTGTCCTACCGACAGCTCTTGTTTTTAAAACGATGAATGGCTTTGTCATAAGATTGTAAGAAAGTGAATAGGGGCATAATGTTAGGTCTGTAATACTGTCATAGAATTCAGTAGTATCAAGCATGACAATAAAAACCCTGAAATAAATATATGAGCCGTGTCATGACAAAACCAACATAATGCGTTTGCGACCAGCATGGATCCAGACCAGCCTGCGCATCCGCGCAGTCTGATCAGGATCCATGCTGTTCGCTTACCAACTCTATTACAAGTAGAGAAACTGATAGCGAACAGCGTGGATTCTGATCAGACTGCGCGGATTTGCAGGCTGGTCTGGATCCATGCTGGTCGCAAACCCATTATGTTGGTTTTGTCGTGACACGGCTCATATATAGATGTTGTTGGTAAGTGTGAGGTTCATGATCGGATATAAAATATCTATATATATCAGATAAAAAGATGTTCTAGAACAAAATATTATTATTCAACATTATACTATATGATCTTAATATATCACTTAAAATTCTATAAACATTTTTTCCTCTAAGAAATATTTTATAAGTACATGTATATCCAAATTATATGGTGTTTTTTCTTTTTTTAAATATATGAAATGCTTATGGAAAGTGTGCCCATTGAAGACCAATGTGTATTCATTGTTTTAGTTCTTAATTGTTATACTTTCAGGCTAAATGGTTAACTTTAATCTGTTAAATTACTAAGATTATTTATTTATGCTGATCTTTAACAGGCTGTAAGGCAATTTGCTTAAAACCTATCCGATACCATATTATCACTGTCATGTGTACAAATATATTCTATATGAAAAACTTTACCATACTATATTTGCTAAAATAAAAATCTATTCCATACTGTGTTATTACATTCATGACTAATAAGTTTGTTTACAAAAAAAAACAACAAAGAAAACCAAAAAAACAACACCTTTACCATACTATTTGTGAAAAAAAACAACACAAAAACCTCTACCATACTGTTTGTAAAAAACTGCAAAAACTTTACCATTTTGTAAAAAACCCCATTAAAACCTCAACCATACTGTATGTTTAGGGAGAGAAGACTCAGGGAGAAAAGAGATGCTGAAAAGTTTGGGACATGCGGTAATACAAACGCCAAAGAATGGATGAGACAAGTTGTAGCTTCAGAGATAAAAGAAATTAACAGAGCTAAAAGGGTAATACATTTTAGTTTTTAAAGTGCATAAAATGAATATGAGCCGCGTCACGACAAATTTAACATAATGGGTTTGCGACCAGCATGGATCCAGACCAGCCTGTGCATCAGGATCCATGCTGTTCGCTTAAAACCCTATAACAAGTAGAGAAACTGATAGCAAACAGCATGGATCCTGATCATGCAGATGCGCAGGCTAGTCTGGATCCATGCTGGTAGCAAACCCATTAAGTTGGTTTTGTCGTGTTGCGGCTCATATAATGAATATATAGGTGATTACTTTCAAGTGAATTATGCTAACAGAGCTACAAAAGTATTTCAGTGTTGTTTTTAAAAGTGCATATACATATAGATGATACTTGTTTTGAGTGAAATATGATAATATTTTATTTAACCGCCTCCGTGGTCGAGGGGTTAGCAGGGTTGTCATTAAGAAATTAAGAAAACACTCTTTGTTATGCATGATAAAGACAGAAATGACCGCCTCAAGTTCAAAACAAACCTTCTGCAAAAAATGTTAATGACAACCCTGGGTTAGAGTCGATGACTTCTAATCCAGTTACCTCTCTGGCGTGGGTTCGATCCCCGGGAGATGCTTTGGTAGTTTAGCGCAGAGGAAGGTAGTCTAGTACTGGTGTAACTCTCCAGGAACAATGGTTAGGAAACTACCCGCCTATATGACTGAAATACTGTTGGAAAAAGGCGTAAAATGAAACAAACAAAATAACACTGAGAAGATGTAAGATTACAATATTTTAGAGAGAGGGTATATTGATATACAAGGCCATCCTTAAAAAAATGTTCGTTTGCAGTAACGCGACTGACTCACAAAATTTGCCCCTATTCAAAATTTTTTTTTCATGGTCTGGATAAAAAAAAATTATTTTTGAATCAGAAATGCTTTGTTTTCATTTTTTTAAAGGTAAATAGAAGAAATTTCTTGCATATCAGACAGGATAAAGTCTACTGTTTACACCAATGCTAGACAAACCTGTCTTACACCATCCTGTTTAAGACAAGTTGCGTGCTTTATATTATGTCATTCCCGCCCGCCTTTTAAGAATGAATTGCGTTTTTTGAATGACATCATTTATCCGTTATGAATGAAGTTGTGAATTCATACACTACTATAAGAAGAAAGTGCTGAATTAAAATATTTTTTTGGTAATTTCTTACTGAAATATATGTAATATGTAATATGCAAGAAAAAGTGTCCTACACCAGCTGTCGTAACAGACCTGAATATCTAGCTCTCGGAAGGTACTGTATTCCTAGAAATGTTCGCGGATACAATATTTCGCGTTTTTCACAACGTCGGCATTTTCGCGGAGACAAACTTTCGCGGATATGTAGTAAGTAATATTATATATTACTCCTCTCCCCCACCCTAAAAAATAAAAAAATAATTTCCAGTTATACCCCCTTTTTAACCAGGTTTTCAATTTTGAAAATCCTGGTTATTAGATTGGGGTATGGCGGGCGGATGGGCGGATGGGCGGATGGGCAGATGGGCGGATGGGCGGATGGGCGGGCGTCAAACGAAATTGTGTCCGCTCTGTAACTCTTCAACCCTTTGAAGAATTTTGATGAAACTTCAGACAAATGTTTACCACATCAAGATGACGTGCAGAACGCATGTTCCGCATGGCTGGCTCCAAGGTCAAGGTCACAGTGACATTAACATTGAAAATCCTGTCCGCTCTGTAACTCTTCAACCCTTTGAAGAATTTTGATGAAACTTCAGACAAATGTTTACCACATCAAGATGACGTGCAGAACGCATGTTCCGCATGGCTGGCTCCAAGGTCAAGGTCACAGTGACATTAACATTGAAAATCCTGTTTACATGATTTTAACTTGAAATTGTGTCCCGCTCTGTAACTCTTCAACCCTTTGAAGAATTTTGATGAAACTTCAGACAAATGTTTACCACATCAAGATGACGTGCAGAACGCATGTTCCGCATGGCTGGCTCCAAGGTCAAGGTCACAGTGACATTAACATTGAAAATCCTGTCCGCTCTGTAACTCTTCAACCCTTTGAAGAATTTTGATGAAACTTCAGACAAATGTTTACCACATCAAGATGACGTGCAGAACGCATGTTCCGCATGGCTGGCTCCAAGGTCAAGGTCACAGTGACATTAACATTGAAAATCCTGTTTACATGATTTTAACTTGAAATTGTGTCCGCTCTGTAACTCTTCAACCCTTTGAAGAATTTTGATGAAACTTTAGACAAATGTTTACCACGACAAGATGTCGTGCAGAACGCATGTTCCGCATGGCTGGCTACAAGGTTAAGGTCACAGTGACATTAACATTGAAAATCCTGTCCGCTCTGTAACTCTTCAACCCTTTGAAGAATTTTGATGAAACTTCAGACAAATGTTTACCACATCAAGATGACGTGCAGAACGCATGTTCTGCATGGCTGGCTCCAAGGTCAAGGTCACAGTGACATTAACATTGAAAATCCTGTTTACATGATTTTAACTTGATTTGGCAGTCAAAGGTCATATCATCTTTGGAGGTAATTTAAAAAAGATATGATATATTATTTCATGTCTACTTTGTAACTTGTTTTTCATTATAAAGAATTATCAATATAATTATAGTGAACAAATTCTTCTGTGCTGAACTCGTCCTACATTTCTCAACGGATTTTGTTCAAACTTTCACAGAAGCTTTGTCATCAAGCACCCTGGCACATATTGTCGGGGTTTTGTGATTGGATAGTTTTTGACCTAATTATGGCCCTTTGTTTTTTTCCTTATACATAATATTATAGTGAACACTTCTTCAGTGGCAATTCCTCCTACATTATTCATGTTTTACATTGCACATAGTTACATTGTTTGTTGCTTGTATTTGTATTTCAAATACAACATATTTATCTACAATGGTGATAATTGAAAACCTGGTTTCATGGCATTGCCATGTTTCTTGTTTTATAACATACTTTTTAAAAAAAAAATTTTTTATCCCCCGGCGTGATTCGAACCCGCGACCCGGAAAAATAAAAAAATTAATAGACACCGCACATAATGGCACCTTTAAAAAAAAATTTTTTTTTCTTCTTATTTTCTGAATGAAGAATGATTTGACACGAGAAAAAAATATTTTTTTATCCCCGGCGGGACTGGAACCCACACCACCTAAACCCGAAAAATTATATTCTTAAAAAGTAAAATGTAATAATACCTATTACTATACTACCGACGATTAATGCTGTTTTTTTATCTTCGTGTTCTATTGATATATTTTTTTCTTTTTTTTCTATTCCATCTGATACTTTAACTAAAGATTTAGCTATTTCTTTAGGTTCTTGTAAAGATTTCTTTGTTGGCGTTCCTTTAATTTCTGTATGTATAATTGGTTTAATTGGTTGAATATTAACATCATTATTCAATCCAAGTTTTTGATAATCAGTTGCTACTATAATTTTATTATTATAATTTTGTATTTCTCCAATTCTTAATTCCATATCACTGGGTGCCATATATAATCCAATTCCAAAAACATAATCAACTTTACTTCTGGCATATTTTAATGTATTTTGATATCTTTTAATTTGACTCGGTAAATCTACGGGACTATTAATTGCATCCTCAACATTTGCAAGAAATTGTTTCTGCGCATCAAAAGCTGTTCCTGTTCCGAGTATATCAGTTCTAGTTTGAGATTGTGAACCAAGAATAGCCCAGCAATAGGTT